TCAATAGCACATCATATATTTGATGGCATGCAGAAGATCGAGGAGAAATCAAGTAAGCACAGGGTTGTTCTGTTCAACCGCAATGAAGGTGTTTTTGCTGTGCAAACAGGTATATGGGGTGGAGGAAGACGTGGGCATAATCGTCAATCTGTTACTCTACACGTAGAAACTCGCACCGGAGAGTGTACATGCCAAAAGTATCAAAACAGAAGAGTACCTTGTTCACATGCAATGGCAGTAGCTAAGTCGATAACCCTCAGCGCTTACAGTTTGGTTAGTCCTTACTACACGGAACAGGCGATCAGGAACTCCTACTCGTCAAGTTTCAGCCCCCTGCTGGATAAAGCTTATTGGCCTGTAGACAATGGGAAGTTGATTATACCACCGTTGCACTTAAAGCGCACCAAAGGACGTCCTAGGACCGAAAGGATTCACAATGAAATGGATCAATCACAACGTGCCCGACGAGGTCCAAAGCATTGCTCAAAGTGCAGAAATCCGGGTCATGACAAGAGGCGTTGTCCAGGTCCACCTCTAGAGCAAGATTCGGGGCCAAGTACAAACCAACCTTGAGTACTCTTTTGTTCACTTCCTTTTCATTTTCGTTGTTGTGATGTTTAATTTGGACTTCTTGTTTTAATCTTGTTGAGTGATTGTAATGAATGGTGTCTGTTGTTTACTTTGGTACAACATGGGGGAAAATCAACACAATCTCAAAATAAATTAAGACGACATAGATAGTTCATGGAAAACAACACAATCCCAAACCAAATTAAGACGACATAGATAGTTCATGGAAAAACAACACAAGACCAAACATAATTAAGACGACATAGATAGTTCATGGAAAAACAACACAAGACCAAACATAATTAAGACGACATAGATAGTTCACTGGTTCTCTTCATTTCCCTCTTCCTCCACTTCCCCTTCTCTTCCTCTTCCTCTTCCTCCACGACCTCCTCGACCCCTTCTTCCGCCTTCTCTACCTCCTCCTTCTTCACGAGCCCGCTGGACAACTCCTCGCGGATTCCTCTTAACCCGACCACCCACCGGAGTGTAGACAGGTGGTGGGGGTTGAGCAGGCTGAGATGAACCAGAAGCGTGGTGGAAAGTCGATGATGTGTGTTGTTGAAGCGGGGTCTGATACTGAGCAGTTTGTTGCTGATGGTGGAAGTGAGGGGTGCCTTGGGCGGCGAACATGTCATGTTCCTGAGTGACGACATAGCTTGACGACCCTCCGGTGCCCTCAGTACTAGTTGCCCACTCACAATGTGGCCATGGTTCAGGAAGTTGAGTTTGTTGAGACGGACGAAGCTCTTCAATGTTTTCTCTCACCCTTCTTCTGCTCCTCCGTGGGGGCTCTTGTGGGGGCACGATCCTCTCATCAGCACGGAATGACGGTCGGGGCGATGCAGGCATTGGAGGGTATAATACGACATCCCTCCTTTGCTCTCGAGTACAACTGAGCAGGTTGTTGAAAAGCCTGCGCAAAAAAGAGGTCTTCCGCTCATCCATGGTGGGTGCACTCTCGACAGTGTGCTTGGCATGTTCCAAACCGTCAACCTAATAAATTGTTGTACAAAATTAACTAACATTAAGACAAAGAGGCATCCTTAAATCTATCAAAGGCATGTAATCATACTTCCAAAAATTTAGACATGTAATCATACTTCCAAAAATTTAGACATGTAATCATACAAAAATTTAGACATTGTTGTACAAAATTAACTAACGTAGGCATGTAATCATACTTCCAAAAATTAACTAATTAATTAACATTCTAGCTAATATAGGCATGTAATCATACTTCCAAAAATTTAGACAAAGAGGCCAAAATGGAATTCACTTACCACTGCGCCCCAAACAGCACCTTGCTTTGACACCCATCTGAGCGTGAAATTTCGATACCACCGCATGTAGCCATCGTGGTACCCCATTGGCCTTGTCTCCGGCATCCCTTGGACCACCCACTGATTTCGATTCTCCCATATGTTGATGTCGAATTCATGCTTCTTTTGCCAATCCTTTTTGGTGTGGCGTAGGTCAATGGCGTGGAGCTCCCTGAACCCTTGAGGTGGGGATGCTGGAATTGGTTGCTCCAATCGATATTGCCTCAAAGATTGATCGGGCAGGTGCCATTCCACCATGTGGAAGCAGATTAAGGGCACCTTGCACAACCATGTCTCTTCATCCTCGGGATGTCTAAGACGATGCAACTCAGCCACTTCATTTGGATATGGATCCCATACCGCCTACAATCATTATAGTTCATGGAATTAGTACAAATTATATCCACTCCACCTAAAAAATTGAAAATGATGAAATTTAAGTATTTTTACCTGGTTCCACTAAGGCTTATCGAATTCAGCACGATAAAACAGCAAAGAGTGTTCGGGCTGGTGGTCGTTTGTATTTGCTCCGATCCACCTAATTAAGCAAAAGTACGTATATAAGCAATTTTTATGGCATAGATGTTTACTTGTTAAGTATGATTGTATGGAATCATATAAATTGAACTAAAATTCCTTACTTGGCAATAATCTAAATTAGCTAAATACGATTTGGTTAGAAAAATTCTAAATTTGCTAACTTGGAAGATATCTAAATTCACTAAATACTATAATTACAGACCTAAAATGTCACTTAATTTCCTTACTTGAAAGATATCTAAGTTCACTAAAATTCACTAAATTCGCTTACTTGGAATAGATCTAAATTCACTAAAATTCACTAAATTCGCTTACTTGGAATAGATCTAAATTCACTAAAATACTACCATTGCATATCTAAAATAAATTAAACTTAAATTAAACTTAAATTAAACTTACTTGAAACCATATGGGGGATTTGCTACAAATCGTAGCTCATCGTCTGGCAACCAGAATTCCCGAGGGTCTCGAGGTGCTAAAAACGGAAGATGCTCCCATGCCCAGAGTTGGAGTATGAACATCGCACCACCAGCTTGTTTCGCTCCCAACCTCGAGCAAGTACACAACTCTCGGTAGATCCCAGCCAAGACGGCCGATCCCCAACTTTTTTTCCCGATCTCGTCCCAGTCACCGAGGAGCATATTTAACCACATGCCTTGTATCCACCGGTTTGACTTGTCGGCGAACAGAAACCCACCAACCAAACCAATTAGGTAGACACGTGCATACCGCTCCACCTGATCTTCAGGAGTGTCGGGGCCTATGTTAACCTCCATTTGGATGTGGTCAACAAGCCACGGGACCGATACTTGCCCTGCATTCAGTGGTGGATGCCCAACCCCGTCGACGGGCGTGGTGGTCGGCATGTTGAACCCCAAACGCTCTAGAATCAACGGCCCCCAACCATCTTCCGGTTTTTTCGAGCTATCGATGATGGCATCTCCGGTGATCGGGAGCCCGGTGAGGATGGCAACATCTTTGAGGGTGATAGTCATTTCACCCTCGGGAAAGTGGAAGGTATGCAGCTCGGGGCGCCATCGCTCTGCCATTGCCGTCAACAGATCGTTGTCAATATCAAGCCTCGTAAAGTGCCTCAGCATGTGCAATCCCGTCCTCTCTATATAGGGCTGCAGTCGATCATGCCAACGGGGCAATCGACATGTCCCTCGATGAGCGATGGGAATAAGTGATTCCTACAAAACAAAAAACACAATATTATCATTCAATAGAAAGCAAAATAAAAACTTAAAAACTATTGAAATAAATTTAGTGTGTCTACCGGATTATTGTTCCAAATTGAACGGGAGCGATGTTGATCTTGCCCGATTAAATACCTTCGATCCCTTGGACCAGGATCGATATACAATCGAGGGTCGTATATCTCAGCACCCATCTATAAAAAAATATAAAATCAAATCAATTTAAATTTTAGCACCCATGTAAAAAAAAATCACAAAAGAATAAAATTAATTTACGTACTCTCAAAGCCTCTTCGTCCATTTTTTGCCGAAAAGCTAGCGAGAGTATCGACAAAACAAAAACTCTAGTAATTCTTTCTGATGCGGAAGGTCGGACTTAGCCGCAACCACAGAGCATACTTAGAACGAAACTAGAGGAAAGTAAAGGAGGGAGAAAGAAGTATAAGATTTTGGTGTGGTTTGGAATGAGGGGGGGAGTGGTATTTATAGGGGAAAGGGGCGCTGGAAATTCTGCCAGGGACCAATCACCGCCTCTGATGAAGGCAGTGAAGTCACCACCATAAAGGGACGCGGTGAAGGCGTGGATAGCTGACGTGGCGCGGCGTGAGGCGTCGGATCGTGGAGAAAAACCACAATCCGCGCCTCACTGCATCCAACAGCAGCGGTGAAGGCGCGGGTGGTGCGGATCGCTGACGTGGAAAGCGGGGCTATCACCGCTTTTGTCATCAGCGGTGAAGTGCCCGCGCGCGTCCACGTCAGCGATCCGCGCCACTTCACCGCTTTTTGCTTCAACGGTGAAGATCCTTCATCGCGTCACAAATCAACGGTGAATTAATCACCGTCATTAACCACAGCGATGATAGCATCACTGTTGTTGTCCACAGCGATGATGCTATCACCCTTTTGGACAAAAACGATGATAGCATCATCGCTGTGGACAACAACAGTGATGCTATCACCGTTTTGGTCAAAAACGGTGATTGCCATCACTGTCTTGGTTTGCAGCGGTGATAACCAAACTGTTGTATTTTGGGAAATTTTTTTATAAGTACTGTATTTTGGGAATTTTTTTTAATAATTAGAGTATTTTGGGATTTTTTCGTTTATTCAGAGGACTGTGGTAACAATGTGTTATAGTTGAGGGACCAAAAGCTGAGACAATTATCTTTTGTGGAGTAAAAGTTTAAGAAAGGGACAGGCAAAGCCAGCCAAACGACTCTTCCAAAGGCAAAAAAGAAACACTTCAAACCCGCACTCCCTTTTCAAAACAATCTCTCTCTCTCCGCCCCTCTCTGCTTTGTCTAAGAACACCGTGTTTAGGGGCGTCTTCCGGAAATCAAATACCGATATCTCTGCAGCTGCCTGCTGAATGGAAGCCATTAGAAAGCAGGCCACGAGGCTTCGAGAGCAGGTTGCTAAGCAACAACAGGTCTCACATCTCTACAACCCTAACTCTTTCAGATCCACAACTGCCTTCTCTTCTCCTTCTCGTGAACTCCTGTGATTGCTTCCTGGTCTGATCCCTCTTGTGTATGTTTCCTTCGATTTGGGAATGGAGTTATGTGTGTGTGTGGTTGCAATTTGATTGATTCGGTAACATTACGCGGGTCAACATTGCGACGAGCTTTGAATGAATTGGAATCAAGAAATTTGTGAAAAATGGCCCGTTGGGTACTGATTATTGTTACGGTATTCCTCTGTGTATGCATGTGATCCGGGACCTTCACATAGATTTGGGAGGCGTTTGATTGGGAGAAAGTTGAGAGCTTTATTGGTTGTGAAACAATCTGGGGGCTTTATTTTAATATTTGAAGTAATGAAGGGAATTCTGGTTGGTTGCTGTCTTCCTCACTTGATTGAATAGAATCTGGATGAAAGTTGATTCCTTTTGCATGGTTCAGTTGCTATATCTATTCAGACATACTAAGTTTCTATTTTCAAGTTCCGATCCTGCTGTGATGTTTCTAAGACAGTTGTTTGTGGCCTTTTTGTTTCTTGGCCCTTTCGTTAGGATCCATAGTTTTCTTGATCATAGCAAGCGATTCTAACAGGACTTGGTTTGTTCACAGGCTGTTCTGAAGCAGTTTGGTGCGAGTGGATATGGAGGTTCAGACGGTTTAGTTACTGATGAGGCTGAATTTCATCAGCATCAGAGGCTCGAGAAGCTTTACATATCGACTCGTGCTGGCAAGGTTGGTCCACTCTGTTTTGCACCGGCCTTCCTGCATTGGGTTTCCTTTGCTTCATTTATGTTTTATACATAATTGGTATCTAATGAGGCCCCAATGCTATATCTTACAGCACTTCCAAAGGGATATTGTTCGTGGTGTGGAAGGGTATATTGTTACTGGATCCAAACAAGTGGAAATAGGTTAATTGGTGAAAGTTTCAATTTTCATTTGTCCATTTATGTGTGCATTCTAAATATAATGTAGCATCTCATCTAGAGGTTTGACATTCAGCTGTGTTCTATAGGAACAAAGTTATCAGAGGATAGTCGGAAGTATGGCTCTGAAAATACTTGTACTAGTGGCAACACATTATCAAAGGCTGCGCTCAATTATGGGCGTGCTCGTGCTCAGATGGAGAAGGAGCGGGGGAATTTGTTGAAAGCTCTTGGTACACAGGTTTTATGAACAACTTTTCCCAAGTCATATGCTTCTCTAGATTTAGATTGCTTACAGTTACAGGTCAGGCTACTTTTGTTAGGACTGGAGTTTCCCATTGCTGGGTTAGTTTGTTGATCTATAACTTCGCCTTCTTGGCTCATTGGTCATTACTCTGTTGTTCTTGACCTGAACTTGACCTTTAGTGTGGTTCTTTTTGAGTTTTCCTTGCTGTAAACCAGTGGAGATAACAATATCAACTTATTTGAGTTTGATTCAACTAGCGTTTAGGTTACAATCTATGTTTTATTTTCTTCACTGTTTCTTTGCTTTATGGGTCACATCCTTCGCTTATGGTCTTTATCAAAAGTATGTATACGCTGCATATTGAAAAATGCAGAGGTCTTTAGAGGCTGACAAAAAGGTTATACCCCTTGTCTAGAGTTCGGTATAAACATACCACTCAAGAAAGGTCCAAATTTTTTTTTTCCTTTGCAGACACTATCACCGTGCTATGTGCTTTTCCTAGAAGTGTCTTGTTCTCACTTGAAAGCTGATGATATCTGCTTCATAAGCTTACTGTTTAATATTGACCGCGAGACAATATTTTGTCTTTGTTCTGCTTTGATTTTTCTGTGCAATATATATGTAATATTTTTTATTTGTTTGAATAGGTCGCAGAGCCACTTAGGGCGATGGTGATGGGAGCTCCTCTGGAAGATGCCCGACATCTTGCTCAACGTTATGACAGAATGAGACAAGAAACTGAAGCGCAGGTATGGCCAACTGTGCACTCTTTATGAAGTTGAATGGTTTATGAGTGGACATCAGGATCCTCAAGCACGACACTTTTGCTGTATGCTAGACAGGCCATTGAAGTTTCTAAACGGCAGGCAAGAGCAAGGGAAATGCCAGGTCATTCTGAGGTTTCCATGAAATGGGAAGCTGCAGAGTCGAAGCTTCAAGATCTCAAGGCTAACATGGATATTCTGGGGAAGGAAGCAACTGCAGCAATGGCAGCTGTTGAAGCTCAACAACAGAGGTTGACTCTCCAACGGCTTATATCTATGGTATGTTAGAATTTTATCACTCTGTTATGGGTTTGATTTATTATAAATTGTAGCAGAAGCTTCGTCTTATGTTGTTCGTGTTACTTTAAGGTTGAATCAGAAAGAACTTATCACCAAAGAGTTCTTCAAATACTCGATCAGCTCGAAACTGAGGTATGCCATGCATTTTTAAGTCCTAAAGCTGCCCTCTGAAAGGGATAGCCACTTATGACCTTTTGTTTGTTGGGGATAGATGATATCAGAACGACAAAGGATTGAAGCACCTCCACCACCCGTCGAGAACAACAACATGCCCCCACCACCTCCATACGAAGAAGTCAATGGCGTTTATGCCTCTCAAACACAAAATGGCTCAACAGATAGTATGGGATATTTCTTAGGGGAGGTTTGTATATAAGTTTTCCCTCTTGCTCCATTCGACCTGATGAGATTTATACTCGGCCAGGAAACACTTACTATATCTATATTGTGCCACAGGTTATGCATCCTTACAATGCCGAAACTAGCGTTGAGCTTTCTCTGTCAGTCGGTGACTATGTTGTCGTCAGAAAGGTTTGTCACTTACCAGAATGGCAGAATCTAATTTAAGACCATATTTGGGCTGTGAGAATGAACGATTGATCCTATATTTCTCGGGTGTATGCAGGTGACGAATAATGGGTGGGCGGAAGGGGAATGCAAAGGGAAAGCAGGTTGGTTCCCATTTGGATATATCGAACGAAGGGAGCGAGTCCTGGCGAGCAAAATAGCTGAAGTGTTTTGAAGGCTTGAAATTTTTTGTTGAGATTGCTGCTCTCTGGGGGCTGTTCGTTTTTTCTCCCAATGTATGAATGTGTGTATTGTTTTTTTAGCTCTTCCTCGTAACTCCAATGAGCCCCTTTTCTCTCTTTTCCTGTATTTTTGCGCAGTAGTTCTCATCTCATGCCCTTTTCCCCTTGTGATATAGGTGCCAATAACATTAATGATCCCTTGCTGGTATATGATAGTCAGTTTGTCCTGTGTATTATCTTTGCATAAGTTGTATGCGATGAAATGTGAAATCGGGGTTATCTTTCTGCAGTACGTCGTATTTCGTTACAACATATAAGTAATGGTACAGATGAATTACTTCTCCGTTATTTGCATGAGCTAAAACGATGAATCAATGTTATTTTCTTGCTGCAATGGTCTCAGGACAAGGTAACTACACAGTTTCTAAGTAATCAACATAACAGAAGTACACAAGATCGAAGGAACTTTTTAACAGTGTTGGGGATGTGAGAAAGCCCAAAAGAGTTGAAGTCCTCAAATGTGAAGTCCAGGCCCAAATGCCCAAAGCCCAAAAGAAGAGAAGTCAGTCCAAGGGAGATATCTGACAACCGAGGCGCATAGAGACAAAAGCTCTGACAAGAAGCACATAGCGACAAAAGACATGTAACTGGCGGAAATGTAGGAAAAGCTGAACGGCTTAGGTCATGCACCTTGGATCTCTGATGTTGGTGTCAGATGGTCGAGGCGCATGGCGTAAAGAAGGTACAATGCATTAATCGCAATGCTGACGTAGGGCGGATTTGGGGGGCATTGGTCGGGAAGGCTCCTAGTATAAATAGGAGAGTAGGTAAACTTCATTACTCAGGTTGGGTTCTCTCACTAAAATCTCCTCCTACTTCTCTCTCTATGATGTTGTGCTAACTTGACCGTCGGAGGTCTAACGGGCGAAGTAAGCCCGCTGTGCGCTTCGTGTGCAGGGATCTATGCGCCTTGGAAGGAGGAAAATAAAGAAGCACGTACGTACCGAAGGAAGCGCAACATGGTACGAGTAATCAGTTGTGCGCCTTGCGTGTGGAGATCCAAGCGCCTTGGAAGAATGAGGAAAAGATAGAAGTGCGTACGTATCGGGGAAGCGCAACATGGTACGAGTAATCAGTTGTGCGCCTTGCGTGTGGAGATCCAAGCGCCTTGGAAGAATGAGGAAAAGATAGAAGTGGGTACGTATCGGGGAAGCGCAAAGTGGCACGAACAATCAGCTATGCGCCTTGTGTAGAAACCCATGCGCCTCAGAAGAAGTAAAGGAAAGAGGTGCGTGTGAGCCATGAAGCGCAATGTGGCACGAAGATTGGTTGTGCGCCTTGTGTGTAGAGGTCCATGCGCCTCGGAATAAAGAGTAAAGGGAAGAAGTGCGTACAGATCAAGGAAGTATAACTTGGCTCAAACAAACAGGATTGTTCATTCATTCTCCACAATAATCAACACAACAGAGCAATTGGTTCATTCATTCATACGCTAGTAAAGCTTCCATGAGGAAGTAAATACTGCACTATCATACGTGGGCTTTTTACTCCCAATAGTAGGGGTGTACATGGGTTGGGTGGTTCGGGTTTAACCATTTTAATCACCCGACCCATGCACTACGGTTTGGAAATTATCAAACCCAAACCCACCCAAAAAAATTAAAACCCTACGGTTTGTTTCTAATTGGGTTGGGTCGGGTTGGCGATATTTTTAAGTAAAAATCCAACCCAACATAAAAATATATAATTATTATACACCATAAAAATATTTTATAACTAATTAAAATTTCAAACGAATAAACCGAGGTGAAAGCTATCAAAATTCAAAAATGTTGTTTGAATTTTAATAAAATGTGATTTACTTCAACATATGTCTAGTTTTTTCCACGATATTTGTTGAAATAGGCTAAAAAGGTTATAAACAAACGCATCCATAATATGTTATTCTATTAAAATTGTACACAAGAAAAAGGATTACGTGAATCATAACTATACTCAATTTATGTCTAAACTTTAAGTCGAAGAATGCATTAGATTAGGGAGACCATGATAGAAAAACATGGCGAAATATCTTAATTTTCTCATAAGTATTGCTATATACGACACAAATATTTTTTAGATACGAACTCATACTAATAGTTGGAACACGGGTTGGGTCGGGTTCTACGGGTTGTGTAATCCAAAATCCAAACCCAACCCAAAAGAGGCGGGTTGTACAAAAGAAAACCTTCACCCAACCCAAAACCTTCGTTTTAGCGATAAATACGGGTGGGTTGGGTCGGGTTGGACGGGTGGGTCGGTTTGCGGGTGTGTTTGTTCACCCCTACCCAATAGTGATGTTCATACGTGTGGCCCAATCTTTAGTTGAGGCTCCTTATAGTGGATGCGAAAAAAGCCCAATCTCAGCATGGCAAAAAAACAAAAAACAAAAAAAATACTCCAGTCCTAGGTCTTTCTCCCTTCAGTTCTTCCGCTCAACTGAACAACATACTTCTTCCAAAACCAAAGGCGACCCTGCAAACAACATTTTAAGCAGTCGAACTATTATCTCCAAGGATTCCAAGGTTTCTCGCTCAAAGGTTCGTCCTTTCTTCTTATACTCTCTTGTTCCTACCGTTCTTTGCTAATCTGGGCTATAGGGTATTTTGTATGTTATTTGAGTTATGGAGTGGGGTTTTGTTACTGGGCAAAGGGTTTATCTCTACCCTTCACGGCGTGTTGATGAAGGAGAGAATCTTCTCTTGCCCGGGCAAAACTAAGACTCTCAGAGGGCGCATAAAAAAGAGTTGTCTTTATGTTCTTGTTACAAGCTATAATGCTTGTTGTGTCTATACGCAGTGGTTTTGTCGCCGAATGGAATTTTAGAATTTGCGACCAGGGAGTGGGAAGCTAAGAACTTGTCTTTGTTAATCGTTCTGGCTTTTCCCTTTTGGGTCTGTTCTTTAAACTTTCATGGCTCAGTCGGCAGAGGTGCCGTCTTTATTGACGCTTTGCTTATAGGAGGTTTTCAGAATTCAGGTGCTTACATTTCATCTGTTAGTTTCTTTGGTCTATTGGGATTGGCTTTGGAGCAATACAGGAACGTTTAGGGTGTTGAAATGCTGGCTTCTGGGATATTATGATTATCTGGCAACCGAAGCTTTGGTTGATTACATCTTAAGATGGGTTTCTGTTGTCAACTCTCCTCATTCTACTAGCTTCTAAACTTGTAGCGGTTGGTTGATGCTTTTCCAATAACAAATTATAATCTACCGTTATTTTTACAATTACGAATTGCAATGTATGCTTAATCATGTTTAGGCGTGCAACATTTGCAGAGGATCTGGGTGAAGGACGGGGGATATTTGGTGAGTTCGGCAGAATGGGGCATGTAGTTCGTCCTTTGGATAAGTTGAGTTGGTTACCTGAACAACAAGCCGGCTGTGGTTTTGGTGTGTGCCATCCCCCAACAGCAAAGGCTTCATTGCTCCATCTGAATAGTTCCCTGAAGTTTGATCACATAATCCAGCATCAGCTATGTGTTCGCCCAAAGGAATATCTTAGGGCAGAGAGAAGTTTGACATCCAGGGTAATGCATACAAGTGCTCTCATTGATGAAGTTGATGACAACGAATGGGAATCTGGTTTGGAGCCCATTGATCAGAGCTCCACGGAGCATGATGAGATTAGGAAGAAGGATGTGTCTCTGCTATCTTCTTCAAGTGATGGACGGATAGTTGAGAATGAACAGGAAACCAATAACGAAATCCTTCACAACCTGTGCAGCAGAGGAAGGTTACTCGACGCAGCAAAGCTAATAGATACCATGGCACGGAGAAGCCAGATTCCAGGGTATACATGCTGCACAAACCTAATAAGAGGTCTTATTAGAATGGACCGGATGGATAAAGCTGTCAAAGTTCTCAAAATCATGGTGTTGTCAGGTGGTGTACCAGATGTTATCACATACAATATGATGGTTGGTGGGTTTTGTAAGAGAGGGCATGTGAATTCTGCTGTCGATCTTCTGGAAGATATGAGCCTGAGTGGTTGTCCTCCTGATGTAATTACTTACAACACGATAATACGGGCAATGTTTGAGAGAGGGAATTTTGAACTAGCTATCAAGTTTTGGAAAGTGCAAGTAAGGCGGGGTTGCCCTCCATACTTGATAACCTACACAGTACTCATAGAACTTGTCTGCAAGCATTGTGGGGCTGTTCGGGCTGTGGAGGTATTGGAAGATATGGCGAATGAAGGCTGCTTTCCTGATCTGGTTACATACAACTCATTAGTCAATCTCACATGCAAACAGGGGAAGTTTGAAGATGCAGCTTTAGTCTTAAGTAACATTCTATCACATGGAATGGAACCAAATGCAGTGACTTACAACACACTCATCCATTCTCTTTCTAGCTGTGGCTACTGGGATGAAGCTGATGAGATCCTTGCACTTATGAAAATAAGTCCTTATAGTCCTACTGTGGTTACATACAATATCTTAATCAATGGTCTCTGCAAATGTGGTGATCTTGTTCGAGCCATTGACTTCTTCAATCAGATGGTTGACCAAAATTGTTCGCCCGACATTATAACGTATAACACTCTCTTTGCTGCTTTTTGTAGAGAAGGAATGGTAGATGAGGCTCTTGAACTATTCGGCATTTTAGATGGTAGTGACTGTCCACCTGGGTTGATAACTTACAACACTCTAATAGACGGACTTGGTCGAAGGGGCTATGTGGAGAAAGCATTGGGATTGTACAGTCGGATGCTGGAAAATGGGATAAAGCCTGATGGCATCACCCATCGTTCTCTAGTTTGGGCGTTTTGCTGGGCGGGTCAAGTTGAGGAAGCAGTAGTGATATTGAGGGAGATGGTGAAAAGGGATCATCGTATCAATGGTAGTGCTTTCAAATTAGTGGTCCAAGGATTATGCAGAAAGCAACATGTGGACACGGCAATTGAAGTTCTGGAGCTTATGATCTCTGGGAGATACAAGCCAGATGAGGATGCTTATTCTGCTGTGATTAAAGGTGTTGCGGATTCTGGTATGATTAATGAAGCTGATGAGTTGCATAAGAAGCTCATAGAAATGGGCATTTTGAGACAACAGTCCCATTGAATCAACAATGTTGTTCAACAAATTTAACTGATGATGCTTCGAGATAGGGAGACAGCCATATGTGGAAGTAGTGTTGAAGATGCATAGCTGTAAGTCAATTATCATTTCACAGTTAGATCCTCAGCTGCTTGATTGCGTTATAGTTTAGGATTCTTGTTTGGGTTGATGGATCCTCATTATACATTTCGTCATTACTCTTTTTCTCGTTATAGGTTGGCTGTTTTGTGTTCATTCTTTTCATGCTTTAAGCGCATTTTTTCATGCTTTAAGCGCATTTACTACGCTCCAGAGCTCTAGCTGTATACTGGAAAGGTTACTGTCTAGTTGGGCGCAAATCTGATAATAAATGTAAACCTTGTTGTTCCGTTCTGGAATCTTTAAGTTTAGTTTCGATTATTTCTTACATCCAGAATACTGAGATTTGGAGATCGCAAAACTCATCATATATGTGATGGTGAAAAGCTTTCAGAATAGGCACCTTTATTTTTGTAGCTATGCTTGTATCATCCGCTGCAAACTAAATAACAGAACAGTACATAAACACCCAGTGACTAACGTCACCTAGGAGAAATCAATTGTCGTCCTCCATTTTCTGGCCGTCCAAATATAGCAGCTTCCACAGGCTGAGGTCTCCACTGAAAAATGATGCTTTCCGAAGGTGGTGCTTAAACAGAATGATCAACACAACATGAAGTTGCCTGAAAGCTGGCTTGATTTTCATAGCAAAGTTTAAACTCACTGGTAAAGTCTGAAGCATAAGTCAAGCTAGCTGGTATTTTTGACACAATAAACCACATTGTAAGATATAAACAAAAAGATATCAGAGTCAAGCTTCATAGATATGGACAAACCAACTGTGTCAATGGCTTGAAGAACCAAGTAGAAGATTCATACCTGCAAAACTCAAGACAAAAAGTGAATCAGCAACTGATTCACCCTCTGTGAGTTTCTCTTTGATACTATTGACCTTCATTTATAAGTTACAACACCTGATTCTATGATTGTAACTTACATGTGGGAAGCAATATTTACATTTATTATCAGATCTGAGCACACCTGGACAATAACCTTTCCAGTATACAGCTAGAGCTCCGGAGCAACTTAGTGATGAATGTATTTTGCAGCCGTAGAAATTAGGCTGGTATATTATAGCAGAGTAGCATTTAGAAGTTTGTGAGATATAGGTTGCAGAAATTCTTGTGTATATTGCTATTAACTGCGCAACAATTACAGCTTTGAGAGCATTTACTACGGTCCAAAATGCCTCTCAAACACAAAGTTGCTCTACAGATAGTAGGGGATATTTCTTAGGGGAGGTTCTTATGATCTTATCCAAGTTCTCTCTTGCTCCATTCGACCCGATGAGATTTATGAATTATGTTTCCAGGAAATGCTAACAATGCATGATATTATGCCACAGGTTATGCATCCTTACAATGCCGAAACTGACTTTGAGCTGTCTCTGTCAGCCGGTGACTGTTGTGGCCAGAGAGGTTCGCCACTTACCAGAATGGTGGAATCTATGTTTTCGTATTCAGGCCACCGCATTTGGGATGTGAGAATGAACAACTGATCCTATATTCATGGATGTATGCAGGTGACAAGTAATGGGTGGGCGGGAGGGGAATGCAAAGGGAGAGCAGGTTGGTTCCCATTTGGATATATCGAAGGAAGGGAGAGAGTCCTGGCGAGCAAAATAGCCTGAAGTGGTTTAAAGACTTGAACTTTTCTGTATTGTCTCATCTCATGCTTTTTCCCCTTTGTGATTTAGGTACCAAAAATATTCATGCCTCTTGCTAGTATATGACAGTCAGGCTATCCTGTGTATTTTTCGCAGTAATAGTTTCATTTCGCTATAACATAACGTAGTTGTACAGAAATCAATGTTATTTTCTTGCAGCAATGGTCTGATTGTGCTGTGGAGATAAGCTAACTATACAGCTTCTAAGTAATCAACATAACAAAGTAATTGAATTGATCGAACTTGTGAATAGGATTGTTAATTCATTCTCCACGATAATCAACATTTAACACTAATTTGTTCATTCATTAATGTATTTAAAGGTCAAGCACTGCCATATGATATGGCCAAAAGTTTACAAACACATAAGCCATTAAAGCTTCCATGAACAAGAAAATAATACAGGCAGCCATTTGCGGCTTCGCGGACCTGGTCCATCTGCAGAAGAGAGGAGCAATGATTTTTTTAGTCAAGTGAAATATGATCCCACATTCATCACTGATTTAAAAATATGTACATAGCACAAAATTACCCTAGTTGGCTGGGTTGGTGCCGGTCAGACGAGCGAAGATGATGGCTAGGATAATGATAAGCACAACAGTCTGTATAACAGAAATAAAGAAAATCAGTTGCCATTCTTTTAAAGAAGTCATGATAGTAGCCAAAACTGTGATGCAGATTATGTTTATTTCATTAGAAATTTAGAACAGTTAGTACGGAATGAAGCTGACGTTAAACCTCTGAATAAATATCAGGAACTCACCAGGAAGAGATTGTGCTGCTTCTTGCTCTCCAGAATGTAAGAGTTCCTGCCAAACTCAAAAGAAGTCAGCAAAATAACGCAACATAGAAAAATGTAAGTCCAATTATAATGCAATATCTAAACCTTTTGGTGAGAGATCCAGATTCTCGGCAGGTCTTTTGGATAGCTTCCAATCTGCTTAATGTTGTTGATGCATTTGGATCACTCTTGTCAACCTACATATTTTGGTCCCAGCAACGCACAACAGTTACTCAAGTCTGCTTTGGGAGGTATCTTTGCATTTGGTACCCAAGTCAATTGCAGGGTACTAAGTCGTGCGAAGTTAACAGACAAACTGTACCTTAGACTTCAGCATACAAGAGAAGTCATAGAAAGCCCCATAAACATCAGCCATGGTTTTTGTGCCATTAATAATTTTAGCAGTAAGACCTAGAGACAAATGAACAAAGTGTAGATCATCAATTAACATATTCTCACATGATATTGTGTTTGCTACATTCTTGGATTCACTAGAAAGAAAATCACAGGATAGATAAATCTTACCACGCCTCATCTTCACAACTCCTCTGAAAACTTCGATGTTGTTATAGCACATTGCCAGAGTTCCAATTGCCATTATCTATCAATTGATGGAACTCAAATGAGAAGCAAGCTCACTAGTCACTGATAAAAACAGGAGTTGAAAATACAACATTTCAAAAACTATACTTATGACTAACGCAACTTTTTCCCTAGGGCTACAAAAATAGGCACATGCATAGAGAACCTAAGGTCAACGAAGGAAAATGATCTTGGTACAAGAAGGGTAAAAACACCACAATTGAAGTTTGAATAAAGCACCGGCAAAAGAACACCAGAAGCCTGCTTGTTGAAAAGAAAACTACAAGAAATGGAATGAGACCAAGTGGAACATTTGATTTACAAATTTGTTTGAGCCAGGGGCATGCTAATGCATTCATATTTCATAGAAAGAAATTTGTGAACACAAAAAGGATCTTTATTGTCAGCTGCAGATTCTCCTACCTGAGGAATGGCACAAAACCGAAATATAGCAGGATCTCTAAGATCAGACATGTACTTCACACAGTCATCCATATGTATCAATGCATTAGTGACCATATCATTCAAACATTGCACTGCCTTCACTGAATTTTCTTCGTTCTTCAAGTCCTGATGTTTGCAATATGAAGAAATGCCAGTCAGACAAGAACTATTACCCAGAGCAGTGTGTTGTGTGCATGTTCGGTGACAAATTTTCTACTTACCTCAAGTTTGTCAACATACTTGCTCCAGATCTCACGAGGCCAAAACATGCGCGACTTAGGTATCTCATTTATATCTTCCAAATAATCTCGAATGATGTTCGTTTTCTGTTTTCCCCCCAAATTATCATGTAAGACACGAGTAGAAGTACAAAGATGTCGAAGCTCGGACAAAATTTAACATTTCAAGTGAAAATCACTTTTAGATATGCACACTGGTGATACCTGAAGAAATAATCCCATTGAATTAGAGAGGCTGTCTGGTTGTAAATCTTCCTTTCCTGAAGCATGGAAAAGCTTTGACAGTCCTAGTCCCACAAGTCCTGCTACATAGTGGCAATACTCATCGTAGTCATCAACTGTTTCCACCTGGAACATTAGAATGATTAAGTTCAAAATTAGAAAGCAGAATCTGAAGCTTAAACAAATATCTCACTCCCATTTCACTCCTACTTGCACGTATAGTAATGCATTCCCATATCCAATTTGTATGTTGCATCAATACGCGAAGCACATAATTATATCAGCCTTTCGAATCATCTACCAACTAGGCTCATACGTTCCCATCAATACATGTCCTATTAAAGGTTCCATATAACAAAACCAGTATAACTAACCTCTTTGCAGATAAATTTTGCCATTCCAGCACCCATTCTTTGGGTGATATCCTCAATCGCCTCCTGATAGCTGCAAAACAATTTAATTTAGTGGGACATTCTCAAGCACAGGGTCATAGAAACAAATAAATATCAATGGGTAAATGCGCTTAAAGCTTCAATATTTGCGAGATTATCACGATAATTAACTGTAAATCATTACATTTGGAGCAATATACACAACAATATCTGCAAACTAACTCACAAACCTGTAAATGCTACTCTGCTAGAACATACCAGCCTAACCTCTACAGCTACAAAATACATTCATCACTAAATTGCTCCACAACTCTAGCTGTATATTCGAAAGGTTATTGTCTAGTTTTGCTCAAATCTTGTAATACATGTAAATCTTTCTGTCCACACGTAAACTACGATCCTGGAATCAGGTGCTATAATAAAGGTCAATACTATCAGAGAGTAACTCGCATAACTTAGGGGTGAATCCGCAGAATAAGTAATCTTGCTACAGATATCTAAGCTGAAAATTATGTTCACGGTCGTGTGGGAAAAACATGGCACAAGAACTTCAGAAAAAAAGGCCTGGTCCAATTATGTTCAAAGATACATACCCTTTTCCCAGCTCTAGGAACGCAGTTGAAACATGGTGAAACTCGTCCATCAGAACTTTATACTCCTTCGTACCACCTTAAGCAAATGAAAGAATTGGCCCGTGTGAGCAGAAGGATTCCAGGTTAAGGAATCAAGGTTTTTAGTATCTTACATCCAGAAAACTGAAAGTTGGAAGAACGGTAATATAGATACTTTCATAAGGAGCACTAAGGAGGTCTTAAGACTCACATGAAAAGTGCCACTCCTTGTCATATATGTGACGGTGAAAAGCATTCAGAATAGGCACCTTTATTTCTGTAGCTATGCTTGTATCATCCTCTGCAAAATAATTAACAGAACAGTACATAAACATCTATTGACTCACAGCACCAAGTGGGGAAAAAAATATATCTCCATTTTCACACACTCCAAATATAGCAGCTGCCACAGGCTGCAGTTGACACTGAAAAACGAGGCTTTGTGAAGGTGGTGCTTAAACAGAAAGATCAACTGAAAATTAAGTTAAGTTGGCTTGGTTTTCATAACAATGAATGAACTCACTGGTTAAGTCTGAAGCATAAGTCAAGCTAGCTGACATTTCTAGACACAATTAACCACATAGTAAGAGATAAACATGAAGACAATATCAGAGTCTAGTTTCATAGACAGAGACAAACCAACTGTGTCAAGGGCTCGAAGAACCAAGTAGAAGATGCATACCTGCAAAAATCAAGGAAAAAAAAAATGAATCAGCAACTTAGCAGATTGACTACTTATGCAAGTGCTACCTTCAACATATAGCCTGGCTAGAAATATGTTTATCATGTTTTGGCGCTCAAGTAGACAAGGATTAGATATAAAGGCAATCAGAAATCGTTATGTTATTGGTATGCAGAGTTCATTCTAGAGATATCAAAATTCCATAGCACCATTAACATTCACTGGATAGAGAAGATCATAATAGCTTCAGGCCAACAACCAGTCCAATTTCATGAATAGCTTCACTTGTCGTTAACACTCAATAACAGTCAATAGTACAACATTCTCAACCACAGCCACCAAAATCAAACAGATTTTCCAACTTTGAGAAAAGGAAAAAAGACATCGAATTTGCAGAGAAAACGCATACTTCAAGCCTTTTCTATCGAGTGATCAAAACCAAGAAAAAGAAAGGGAAGGCAAAGACTGAAGACTCAAGCTGCTTTTAGTGCATGTCACTATCGTGAACGAAAAGCCATAAAGAAAGATGATATCTTGCTTGTGGAAAATTGATACAGTTGAAAGGTCATTTGTGGCCATTAAATCCTTCACACTTTACACCTCAAGAATCAGAGATTAGATTACTAAAACTGCACACCAGTCTTTTCCCTTGTACCCAAATCATGCATGAAAGTGGAAAAGAAAGAAAGGAAAGCAGCAGCGTAGTAACACTTGTCAATCGAAAAAGTGATGCATAGCTTATCAAAGCAACGAGCAAATGCATAATTCAGTGGGGGAAATCACAGTAGCTCAAAGAATTCGCAAATCAAATTCCCAAGGCAAAACCTTTTACAAAAAAAAAAAAAAAAGAGCAGAAGAAGCTTACAGCGTCACGGAGCTCGGTTCCCAGCTGCTGAATCACAAGAGCAAAGCTACGAGACACCTTGTGAAGCATTGTGTAACAGAATCCCCAATGAGGCTGCGGCGGGATCTGCTTCTCGGCGCTCCTCGCCGCCATTTTGAGCTTCAATAGCGGGTAAACATCATCTGGGTGCTTCAGAATCGCCCTCAAAGTCCCCATTATCTCCTTTCCCTCACCCTTCACAGAGAACAGATCAAGAAAACAAAGGACAACCAGATCGCCCCAGAGAAACAATCCAAATCCGAAATTCTCAATGGGTTACAGAAATCGCCCAGCCAGAGCCAACCCAACGAAGAACGCAAGGAAGGAACGAGGACAGAGGCGAAAAGCGAAGGGATTTCCTACTCCTTGTTGGCAATCGAGCGAGAGAGATGAAACGGGGTTCGGCCCCCAGCTTTTTTGCGATTGTCGATTACACACAAGCCTACAAAAAGATTCGTAAAAGAGTATTATCATTATATGTCTGGCGGACGGCAATTCGGCTCCAACGTCCGCATAGGACAAGACAAAAGGCGAACGTGAAGTGGCGGGGGATAGGTGGCAGGTAGCAACAAGCTAAGAAGTAAAGAACTAGAGGAGTAGGTTTGTTAGAAATTGTAAAGGTCGTTCCCGTTCGTGGTCCCTGCCATTGTCAATCAATGAAGTGTCTTTTCAGAAAGCTCTGGATATTGGGTTTGTGGATATTCGGGGTTCGCAGGCGCAGCATAGACAATGAAGTGAATGGCAAGTCAACCAATACTCGAAGCCCAATCTTGCAGAGCTCAAACTCCAAACACTGAACAGATAGGCCTGCAAACAAGGCCCAAGATGAAAACACTTAATTAGCTTGATTAGAGTGCTAGAGAGCAATCTCATAGTCGTAGATGGAGAGCAGGACTGGGAAAGAGTGCGGCTTGGTCCACACCAAAGACACCAAACCATTTAGACGGTTTACGGTCTAAACCGAGAGACTAAAGTATAGACTAGATATCAGACACATGCTATACGGTCCAGATCAGACCATGACTGTGTGGTCTGGTCTGGTACAGTCTTGTCCAGACAGACCATATTGAACAAAAAATAAACACTTTTTTAAGTCAACCACACTAAAAATTGAACCAATAACTGAGGGGTTTTTTTTTTGCCTTAAAACATAAAATACAACATGCATGAATGATTTTGACACCCTAAATCTTAGTAAATAACAAAGATACAAAGTCGAAGAACCCCAACTCGCACCATAACGTCACAAACATTAACATAATGTCATATGGAGACATGATCGTCTCTCTCCTCTAGTGAAATGTGGTTTTCAGTGAAGGAGGGGACGAGATTCTCAAAATTAAAGTTGAGACTTGAGTCTCGTTGGGAGAATTGGGAGAGTGGTCGAGCGGGATGCTAACATGTATTGGGAAGTCAGCTAGATCCACGATTTGGTCCGGTAAACCGCAGTCTAGACCATACCAAGAGATCAAAACTTCACATAATGCAGACCATGGACCAGACCAGACCATTCTTCACCGTCTACAGTCCGGATCAAACTGTGCGGTATGGTTTGGTCCAAGGTTTTTCAAACGGTCTAATCTATTTTTCCAGCCTTTAACTTTATGGTCAATAACCTTGTATAACCTGCCACATCAGTGCCACATCATCGTATATGGAAGACCCCTGATAATTTTCCTGTAAATTTAAATGGGTTATATCTCTTTTATTTTAAGTCGGAATTTAATTTTTTTTAATAGATAAATTAGATAAATTGTATTTTTCAAAATGATATTCACTTTGATATATTGTCCGAATAAATATTTTTGAGACATTTAGTACCAGTATGTACTATAGTGGTATTGCTTGGCACTTCATGAGATCATACCATGCGGTACGGAAGTGTATCATGGTGATATGAACATAACATATTGTAGGATGGTTGAAGTACATGATAGCAAGAATATACAAACTGTCATTTATCACTTTCATCATTGTGTACCACTAGTTACCACCCCTATACCATAACCATGGTGGTATTGGTACGTTATAGTCCTTCTCGAAAATTTGTGGATCCAATACATCAAGAAGATTTTGTTCCATTTGTGCAAAAAAAATTAAAGAATTGAAGTTAAAAAAGAAGGTGGTACCGGGTGGTACTAAGGTGGTGACGAGTGGTATGATTTTATTTTTTTTGGAAAATGGATCTCATTTTGTAGATCACAACGAACTCATTCTATCTGTGCAAAAAATTTGAAATCCAAGTTAGAACGAAGAAGATAAGAGTCTATTACGAAAACTAGAGAAAATAAAAAATCATTAAATCTCACCCCTTATATCTGAATTTTTTAGGCTCACGATCAAATGGTCTATATTTAGTTAAGGAAGAGTGCATAACCAAGAGTTATTTACTCTATCCTGGACCCTAGCCGGCCTCACCCATTTTTTTTATGGAAACCAAGCTCAAGTTAGAGTGGTTGGCGATCATGATCGCCCGTAAGTTATTCAATTTTAAAGCACAAGTTTGACTACACTTGTATGTAAAAAGTGTGGTTCTACACAAAAGTATTTTAATAACCTGAATACCTAAAAATATAATAGTATATACAATATATTAGTCAGAACTATTAAAGAGTGCAAAAATAATAGCCACAACCTGTGGCGGATCCAAATTTTTTTGTCAAGGGTATTCACAAAAATAGATATTTAATTAAAAATTAAACTAAAAAGTTTAATTAATAAAGTACATCAATTCATCATTTCTCATAGCATACCATGACGTGTTTTCATATTCTAAAAGAAGAAAAAGAATTAAATAAACCATAATAGACTTGGATTAAATAAACCATATTATGAGTTTTCATTCCCCGAGGAGAAGAAGAGTTAAATAAACCATAAGGCTCTCCACAATGTAGGTGGGTTTAGGAGAAAAAGTGGGAAAATAACCCACAATGTGGGTGGAAAAAGTGGAAAAGATGGAGAAATTGGGAAAATTGGGTGGGAATACCCACCACTAGCAAACAAATGGTGGATGCAAGAGAGAGAGGAGGGGCCCACTGTCGGCCCGCATATAATTTTTTTTGTTGTAATTTATTTGTTTTAATGGTTTTCTTTTATTGTGAGGTATTTTGATAGATTTTATCCGCAACTGACAAAATTAATGACGTTATATTTAATTAGTGATAAAAATAAATATGTACAAAATTTTAAAAAATTATATCGAAATCTTCGTATTAATTAATTATCACTAACTACGTAAAAATAATTTTAATTATATAAAAGTAAAGTGAGAAAATCAACTGTAGATTGATTTTAACAACAAAGTGCTAAACCAATTACCCATTTTTCTCATCCCTCACATTGTGACCAAAACATCTTTTTTTTTCTCCCTTTTCCCTATTTTCCCTTTTTTCCCTCCCACCCACATTGTGGATGGTCTAATAGACTTGGACACGACAAACTTAATTAGGAATTAATTTGGGTTCTTTATATATTTATTTGTATTCACAAAACAACAAATGACTACTGACATTACAATCATCCTAGTTAGTTGTAAGGGTTGTCAAAGTGTGAAGGGTTCAAATTCTACTAATAAGCATATATATTTTACTGTACTGATTTGCTACAAATTTTTAATCAAGGTTTGTCAACTGATTACCTTTGAGCAGAAGTAGGTCCACTCCTGGTCACAACTATCAAAATGCAAATTATTAGGCACAACTATTAATGTGGGTCAAGATATGGCTAACAGTCGGTTAACACTAACGGTTTGTTGGACAGATTTACAAGTAAGCCGACACAGCGCCAACTCGATTATAATGAGTTTTTTTTTTAAATTTTCTTTGTGATTTTAAAAGCTAAAAAGGTGAAATAGAGAACCCTAGCTACCAATTGACTCTTCTAGCTAGGGATGACAACAAAATCCAAACCCACGGGTATCCTTTACTCGCGTTGACCGGTTTTGAGCCGGGTTCGGGTTTAAACTCGTACACTATTCAGCGGGTTGGGTTTGAGTTTAGGGGTATCCGACCTATAGATATGCACTCACACTTATTTCGTCGCCCTACTCTCCCCAAACCCTACCCCAGTTCTAATTTCCTCCAATCTAACTCTCACTACACTTATTCCGTGTGCTTTTATTTAGTGTAATTGTGATTTGTTTGAATTTTCTAGAGTGGTGTTTTATGTATGGATAATTTGTGTGGGAAAATTGATGTTTAAATTTTAGTTTGATAGAAACTTGTTATTGTAAATTTTTTAGGGTTAATACCTTAGTTTGGCCCGAACTATACACAAACTTTCTACTTTGTCCCGTGGTTTCCGAAATCGCTATCCTGGCCTAAACTATGTACCATACTTCCTAACTTGGCCCGGAGCCGAGTTTGACCGTCAAATTGGATGGTCAACTCCATTTACCGTTAGTCAAAGGCCAGCTCACTAGCCACGTCAGCGAGCACGAATAAAAAAATATTTTTAAATTTTTTATTCATTTTCTATTCTAATAATAATAATAATAATAATAAACGGAAGAAAAATCAAAACCCCAATTTATGTATTCGCCATCGACGCCTTCCTGAGCACGATCGACATCCCGTTATTGTTGTCGGCGGCGGCGACTTCAATGGTCATGAGGTCTCGCCATCAGATTGCTTGGTGGTCCTTGGTGGAAAAGGATAAGGTGGTGGACCGGTGGTTGGCGAATGATGATGGGTCGTTGGTGTTATGGTGGTGGAGGAAATGTTAGAAGGCGGCGGCATGGCGGGAGTTGCAATTGGCGCATGTTGATTCGCCAACCAAATTGTTGAAGGAAATGTTGATTCGTCTAAGAAACTTCTGCTCGAGGCTCTGTCCACGGCGCCCGCCGAGAAACCTCTTGTTTCCGCTCGATTCGTTCACCGGAAGCCAGTCAAGGTCAATACTCTCGAAGGTAATTCACTTTCCAGATTCTCCCACTTTCGAACCATTTTTTCCCTTTGCTCGCTGCGCGGGACCCGACCAGTTCCCGGCGCCGATTTCCCTGTTGTTGCTGGCCATCCATTTCCCAAATTTTCCGACCTGTACCGTCGGAGATGGGGATAATGCCAATAATGGGTGGACATGATTTTTTCACTATCCAACCCGAACCCGCCCGATTATACATATGCATATATGTATTTTTTCATAAAATTGTGTTATTTTAATTAATTTTTTGCATTCTAATCAATTATTGTCGTACTTTTCCTCTTATTTAATGTGAGAATAAGTGTGAATGTTAACATATTGGTTGGATTTATGAAGAGAAATTATTACTCATGGATAACCGTGGATACCCGAAACGGTATGGACATGTTTTTAATTTTCTACCCGTTTCTTCTATGGGTATGGGTAAAACCCGAACTACTTTGGCTAGGGTATCATATATGCACTATCCACCCCCGACCCGACCCATTGCCATCCCTAATAATTGGGGAAGGGGAAATTCTTTTTTTTAAATAAATAATTAGTAAATAAGTTGTCTAGGTTGACCGTGTGATGTAGCATTTTTTTGTTGACCGCCATATCATAATATCTCTCCCACGTCAGTGTAACATTTGTCAACTCACGATCATCTAACAGAAGTGCTAACGGAGACGTAACGATTGACTATTATTTTGTATTTCGATAATTGTGGCTATTATTTTGTACTCATGAATAGTTCTGGCTAATATATTGTATTTACCCAAAATATAAACTTGTAAACTTTATAGCACGATTTTGATTACTAACCTTTTTTATAGCCCACCACGCCCCACATACCACCTAATCTATATGTGACAAATTTAAAACTTCAACAACTTCCGGCCAAAAAGAGGGGAAAAAAGGGTTAATACCTTAGTTTGCCCGTCAAATAGACTGTCAACTGAGTTGACCTTTAGTCAAGGTCTACCTCACTTTCCACGTCAGCTACAGAGAATATTTTTTTTTTGAATTTATGGATTTTGTTTACTTTCTAATAATAAAAATAATAAACAAAAAAATTAATTAAAAGAGCTCCCCATTTTTTCGATTTCGATTTCTTCCACTTCGAAAGCGCCTGCTTCAAACCCCTGCTACTCCTGCGCCGACTCCCATGTCGTCGCCGCCTCAAGATGCGCCATCTCGTCGCTCAACAATGACGGTAACCCAAGTGCATTCATCATGCTCTCCTGGTTCTGCCCTTCTCCGCCGTCGATTCCCGACGGCTTCAGAAACCCGTCTTCTCGGAAAAGGTCGAAGAACTCGTACGACCCCCCTGCCGCAGTCGGAGGGAACAGAGTTCCATCCCGCTCGGCGCTCATCATCATAACGCCGCTCCCCAAAGTGGAAACTCGCTGCTCCAATAGGTTCCTCAGGCTCTGATGGTCGGTATAAATGTGGAACTTCTGGCTCAGAAGGTACGGCCGCCACATCTGCACAGCTGTGATGATAGCCTGCATCTCCTTCTAGTAAGTAGATCAAGCCTCCTTGGATAGAGCCAAGGTCTTACTCATATAGGCCACCGGGTGCCGATCCTGAGATAGCACTGCCCCAATACCTCGGTCAGAAGCATCCGCCTCGATCACGAAGGGCCGAGAAAAGTCCGGCATGGCTAGCGTCAGAGTGGTGGTCATGGCCTGCTTCAGCTGCTGAACGCCCCGTCGGCGTCTGAGGTCCATGTGAACCAGCCCTTCTTCAACAGATTAGTCAGGGGCCGGGCAATCATACTGTATCCCTGCACAAACTTCCGATAGTACCCGGTCAAGCCGAGGAACCCTCTCAGCTCCGAGACAGTGGTCGGCGTTGGCCACTCGACCATAGCCTGAATCTTCTTCTGATCCACCTGAACTCCTTGGGGTGTGACAATGTGGCCCTGGTACTCAACCCGCTTCACCCCAAATGTACACTTTGAAGCTTTAAGATAGTACTGATGGCGCCGCAGTATCTCAAACACGGCCTGCAAATGCTGCAAATGCATCTCCCAAGATGGGCTATAGACGAGAATATCATCAAAAAATACCAACACATACCGCCGCAGCAGAGGTCGGAAAATGTCATTCATCGCCGCCTGAAAGGTCGAAGGAGCATTGCACAATCCGAAGGGCATGACCAAGTACTCATAATGGCCATTATGAGTTTGGAAAGCGGTCTTGTGCGCATCCTCCTCCTGCATCCGAATCTGGTGGTACCCTGCTCACAGATCGAGCTTAGTAAAGTATGCTGATCCGTGGAGCTCATCGAGCATATCGTCCACCGTCGGAATTGGAAATCGATCCTTTACCGTAGCGGCGTTGAGCGCCCGGTATTCGATGCTGAAGCGCCAAGTCCCATCCTTCTTCTTAACCAACAGCACCGGCGAGGAAAAGGGACTGGTGCTAGGCCGGATCAAGCCGGTCGCGAGCATCTTCTCAACCTGGCGCTCGATCTCCTCCTTCTGTGAATGGCCGTATCGGTAGGGACGGACATTCAGAGCCTCCACCCCCTCCTTGAGCTGGATGCGATGGTCAACCTGACAATGGGGAGGCAATGTGGTCGGTGTCTGAAAGAGCTCCGGAAACCCTGCCAGTACCCCTCGGAGGTCGGGGGTAAGCTCCTGGTCCTCAGTCGTCACCACGGGCCAGCACAGAACCGCCAACTCCGCCTCCTCCTCGATGGCGCACTCGTGGAGAGAGATCGGACCTAGGGCCGTGGCAAGCCCTTGCAAACGCCACTCCTTATCTCTCCATTTGAATCGCATGGTCAAGCGACTCCAATTGGTGGTGACCGGTCCCAATCCCTGCAACCATGGAACACCCAAAATCATGTCAAACCCGCGAATGGGCAGCATAAACACATCCGCAGTGACGGACAACCCCTGAATCTCGAATGGAAGCTCCATATAGACAGCTTTGCACTGCATGGGTGCCCCATTCGCTACTCGGACCACCATCGTATCCATCGAGCTTGGCGCCTGCGGAATGAGCTTTGCTAGCTCCTCGCTAATGAAGTTCAAGGTGGCGCCACTGTCCACCAAAGTTAGCGCCGTGGTATTGGAAACCTGAACCCGGAAATGGAGAGTGCCCGGTGTCAACAGCCCCGTCACTGCATGGAGAGACAGAGCGGGAACCGTCCCTCCTCCCGTCGACTCCGCCGCCGCCGTGTCCTCCTCTGCCCTGCGCAGCGAGACGCGGCACCCCTCCAGCGCCTCTGCCCGCGGCGCCTCCCCCTGGCGCTCCACCTACTCGATCGCGCCGCCTGCGGAATCCTCGACCCGCTATCGTCGGGACCCGCCAGCAGCCGCCCCCTCCAGCCGCTCTGCCTCGCCCGCCGCGACGCCCTGGTCGCGCATCCACGTGGGTTGCCTCGGCTGGACAGCCGCCACCACCTGCAGCACCTCGTGCCGCCCCATCATCGTCGTCGTCACCAGTTCCCGGCCTTGTTCACACGTGGTTTGAGCTTGGGCAGCCCGGAGAGCGTCAAATTATTGCTTCACACAGGTCCATTCCTGAGCAGAGAGCCATATCGAGCTCATTGGAGGCTCTGATACTAAATGATAGAGAAGAATTGGGTTCTGAATTGAGAAGAAGAATTAGGGATTTGAAGAAGAATTGAGGAAGAAGAGAGAGAAGAGGGATTTAGGGATTTTGATATTATTATTGCTTGATCTCAAATGAACGTACTAAACCCTCTTTTATGAGTTTCAGAAAACTAACAAAATAACCCAACCGCCACTTAACTAGGCCCACACGGCCGACCCCAACCCACCCTACCCGCCTCGCAGGTCTCTATCACTGAGCTGGTGTTCAGTGGTCCGGGCTTGGTGCCAACGCCGACAGATCAGGCCCATGCAAGGCCCGTGGAAAGCAGAAGATGGTGGGGTACGAAGGAGAGCCGTGGCAGACTAGGCCCGACGGAGAAAACCCATGGCCGATTGGGCCAGCGGAGGAGGAAGAGCTTAGCTTTGCAGACCCGGAAGGATGGGTGGACCCGGGCCTAGAGGAGGCGAGATTGGGCTGGGTCACGGAGCCAAAGTCGGGACGAACCGGGCCAACCACTAGGCGACCGACCGGTCAGTTCGGGATCGGTCGAGCCGGCCTGAACCGAACCGGGTCGGGTCATCCACCGGCGAACAACAGCTGGGGCGCTTCGGGCAGGGGTCTAGGCAAGGGCCAGGAGTAAGGGTATCCCCGATGGAGTACACTGCGAGCAGGGGAAGGACGAGGTCGAGGTTGTCGGGACATTGGACAGGGATTTGGGACCAAACCAGAGTATGGCGGGAACCACCAGGAAATGACGGGCGACTGGCCCTATTCTCACCAGCAGCGAGCCGAGGGTAGCTACTACCATCAGGGCCCGATGAATCGACAGCCACCGCCGAACGCAGGCAGGTATGGATACAGTAACCCGCTATATGATGCTGAAGATGAACTGATATTTAGTGCTAAACAATCAGTGATATAGTTTTCCAAGTTCGATGGGTCGGGAGATGTGGGCTTATGGCTTTATGCAGTAGAGATGTGGTTCAGGAACCACCCGATCCGAGAAGAGTGGAAGGCGCACCTGGAATCCGTCTATCTTGAGGGAGATGCCCTCCAGTGGTGGGAATGGACCGAGAGAGCTTATGCGGCAGCAGGTGAGGTCATATCGTGGGCCAGGTTCCAGGACGAGCTGCGCTATCAGTTTGGCAAGGCGGAGGGATGGGCTCCGGAACAGCTAGCCAAGCTCAGACAGACGGGTTCGGTGGTTGAGTATCGCGCGGAGTTCCTTAAGCTGGGAAACCAGTGCAAGGAAATGACAGAGGAGACCTTGGTGGGATTGTGTATGGCGGGACTCCGTCCTGAGCTGGCAACAGCCGTTAAGTGGAGGAATTGAGGGCGCAAGGAAGAGGAGTTGGCTAGCTGGAGGACGTCGACGGGGCGTATCCAGAAGGCCAGTGGAGGAATGGGAGCGGGAGCAGCTGGTACCGCACCACCGCCGGGAAATGCAAGCCCGGCGGCCACTGGAGCAGCATCGGGGAACAAGTTTCAGTCAAGGCTACCGCCAAAGGGGTTTGTCCGGCTAACTCAGGCGGAAATGGACCAGAAGCGCAGAGAGGGTCGTTGCTTCAACTGCGACGAAAGGTACACGGTGGGACACTAATGCACCAAGGGACATCTAATGCTGCTGGTCGGAAACTGGGAAGATGAAGGGGAGGAGATGGAGGCGCGAGAAGCGGAAGGGAAGAAGGAAGAGAAGAAAGAAGGTCCACCTTGAGGGCAAGGTGGATTTCAAGGGGGATGAGATGTTAGATATTCATTAATTGGGGGTTTATTTGTTATTTAGACGTTTTGTGTTATGTCGGATATTTCGGGAATTATTGGGGTTAAATCGATTAGGTTAAGTCTTTGGGTAGTTATAGGAAATTAGTCGGATTATATATATTCTGTGTTAGGCCTAAGCTAGGGTTAAGCAATAACAACATAATTATTCTCTAAGCACTCTCCCTCTCTCTCTCACCGGCCCCTCCCTCTTCTTACAAACCGTCGGCCACCACCTTGGTGCCCCGACCTCTTCTCCTCTCAACCCTAATTCCCATTCTATCTCACCCAAATTCCCAATTAGCGTATAAATTCCAATCCCTAAATCGCACACCTATGTCTGAGCTCTTTCATCTTGTACCAGTTTATGTTGTAGAATGGCTAAAGTTGAGATTTTTTCCCCCTCTGGATTCTAATGTCGGTTGTCATATTGGAAAAAACCAGCAATTATTGCAAAGATATTTGAAAATCATAGCAGCATGAATTAGGTGGGCGGCAGTTGGTGCTGTCATTAACTAAGTAAGACAAAAGGATGGCTGTGGATTAGCGCTAATTATTGGGAATTAAATAACCAAAATTAATTAGATGACATGTAACTCGACAGCGATGGGCAGGCACCAGCTGCTAATTAATCACATTCATTGGTCAGCCACTGGGATCTACGTACGCACTTATATATATTATATATATATACATATACTTTTCCATACTTATTATAACAAATTATCAAAAGTATTAAACATTAAGCACCAACTTAATCAATATTACTAATTAGGGTTAATTAACTTTACGTACGTGCATGGGACCCTCTTTTGACCTAACCAGTTATTCATCATACTGTGCCTTTTGCTCTGTCGTTTTCACCTCTTTCTCTCTAATTCTGTAGGTGGCGGGGAAGTGGGAACTGTGAAAAGAAATAAGCTGTGCGTCCTTGTCAGATCTTTTTTATTTTTTTTATTTTTTTTTGCTTCGGCAGCTTTCATTTTCTTCTAGAAGCTAGCTAGGTGGAGATATGAAGATCCATGGGTGATGACGAGTATGATGATGATAAGAGCCTCGCGTTATATTATAACTTATTAAGCGTACCTAATTACTAGGTCAGAAAAAAACATGGCAGTGTAGCTAATTAACTATATGTATTGGGGCGTATTCGGTGCACTAAATTTTTTGGTGCATTCAATGCACTCGCCTCATAATCATCATTCTGAAAAGGCGATTCACGTAAAAACGATACCAGTCATTAATTATTGTTTGATGAACAAGAAACACATGAATTTGTACAGAAATCATTCAAGATTTACTTTAATTTGAATGATTTAGGGTTTAGGAATTTAGGGTTAGGGTTTACAATTTGAGATTTTGGGTTGGAATTCAAAATTGAATGTTAAGAGGTTATGATAATAGATTGATTATTTATGATTCTATATTATATCATCATATTAGACTAATGCTGCCCATCAAAATTAGATGTATTACTACCACTTTTAGAGTTGGGTGCACTAAGCACACCCACAAAAATGAGTTCACCGAAGTAGCCACCATATATATATTCACCGCTTTTGGGCTAATTGCTACGTAGTTCAGTAGTTAATCTTACCAATTTGAATCTTATACCCAATTCTCTTTAGTGTTACGATGTTAGGCGATAATATATTTTGTCCGTCTCAATGTTAGGCAAAGCTGCGAAACTGTGGACTACTGGACTCCGTTGAAGTGGTATTGGGCACATGCACTATCGCCAGTTGGTGTTTTTGCTCCCCTGCTTCTTCTGCCATTTTAACCCCTTTTTTAATTAGAAAATAATAATTTCCGATGGCTTTCTTTCTTTCCGCCTCTCTCGTGGCAGAAAATCAGAGCAACTGGCCAATATTATTATCGCACATTAGCAAATAGCAATTGATCTATCAATAAAAAAGAATAGTCAAAAGTTGGAGCAATCGTAGGTTGGTGACAAAGAAATTAGAAAAGTAGTAAGTAAGATCTACTCTACCTACCACTCCACTCCACTCCCATCGATCTAGCCACAAAGAAATTAGAAAAGTACTAAGTACTCTCTCTCGCGAAATTTCATTTTGAACCGGGGTCGAACCGAATGTTGATTTCGATCCAAATGAAATTGATTTTTTGTTTTGACCCACGACCAGTTGAAGTTATCCTACAGTTATTATTATTAATTTAAAATTGAATTTCGATTGAATTTTTTTTAATATTAAGGATTTAAGGGTGCTTTAGATATTTACTTTTTTTTGTTAGGGTGTGTAGTGAAAGAAAACTAAAATATGCAAGATAGTATAAAGGCCATTTTAACGGTTTTAAAATGAGACTTAATAATTTTTAAGTTGACCTTTATCAACTTGCTAAAATATATTACTAGCTAGGATGGTAAAAATGCATTAGTTATGTAGTGGTATATACTCTATGCATTATATGTGCATCATCCCACATTTATTATTTTGTCAATTGCAAGTCACACTTGGGTTTATTTTCTGCATCTACTACCAGGTTGTTTTAGTGCTGGCTTCCAAGTCACTAACCACAACAAAACATTTGTTATCGTACTTACAACACATTTGTAAGCACGTTCTCACACAGTCACAAATGCGAAGTGAACACCATAATCGAATTCACATCTTTCACCAAGATTTGCATTCTTTCAACCTTGCACATAATTAAAAAAAAAATCATTTATAGGAAACCGTTAAAACGTTAGTGTCGAGGGAATAGTTAAGTGAAAGTGGAGGAGATAAACTTGGTTACAAGTTGATAATGGTTATTACTGGCGGGACTCTCCAAATGACAGAAATTAGCGTAATAAGTTATAAGCAAGTTGCCCCAAAAAACTACTATAACCGGAGCTCTGACCACTTATCAGTTATCATTCAGCCACCTAACAGCCACCGTACTGCGCCACCTAGTCGGGGAAAAGGTAAAATCAACTCGCCACGGGTCCCGCTTGCCTAAACGACGAAACTCGGTCACAATCCCCCAGGTGACCTCTGCAAATTGAGCAATATCATAAATACAGCCATTGGAATTTAGCATCACTAGTTTACTCAAACCCGTAAAAACACACTCTTCAATTTGGTCCTTTGTGTGTGTTCTCTTGAGACACACATAACAAGAGGAGCTTTCCTCAAGCTTCTGGAACTCGAGAGAAGGGAGGGGAAAAATGCAGATCAGAAGCATACCTCAACAATCTCCCCTGCTTTCCCTTCAAACCCCACGTTCAAATGTTGTCTCTCAGCCAAAAATGTGTCGGTTCAATGGCAGGGAATCAATCCTGGGTTCACTAGGATTCAAGGTTCAGGGAAATGGGTCTGGTTTTTCAGGTCAAAGTTTGAGGCCTTGGTCCACGGTGGAAGGTGGGAAGAAGAGATCTTCGTTGTTGCCTTATTGCATTGGCTCGAGCAACAAGCTTTTTGGAGACCATGAGCAGCCGGAAGGAAGTAGTGGTAGCAGTTATGTGCCCAAAGTTGCATCAGCAGCAGATTTTGGTGGGGAGGTGAGGGAAAGAGAAGATGATGGAGAAGAAGGGTTTGAGAGGCAGAGTTTGTGGAAGCAGCTGAAACAGATTGTGGAGTTTTCAGGGCCAGCCATGATCATTTGGTTGTCTGCTCCAGCTATGAGCCTTGTTGACACTGCTGTTGTTGGTCGTGCCAGTTCCATTGAGCTTGCTGCTTTAGGTAAACACCATTTCTTCTTCTTCTTCTTCTTTAAAGATTTGATTCTTTCCTTGGTTTTGAATTGGTTGATTTGATGATGGGTTTGATTTGGGGGGCACAGGACCTGCAACTGTGCTGTGTGACTATGTGAGACTTGTGTTTGTGTTCCTTTCGGTTGTCACCTCAAACATAATTGCTGTTTCACTTGCCGGACAGGTTAGATTTTAAGACTCTATCTCCGTCTCTTTTTACCTATTCTGTACCATAATCTTGACTTCTGTGATTGAGGGTTGGTGAACAATGAAAGGTATTGTAACAATTCATGAACTGCAAGAAGATCTAATACGATTCAGTTTTTGTTGTTGGTTGATGAAGTGAATTTGGTGGTGGCAGGACAAAGAAGAAGTTCAGCACCAGATATCTATCCTTCTATGTGTTGGGTTGACTTGTGGGCTGCTGTTGCTTTCATTCATCAAATTCTATGGTGCATGGGCACTTACTGGTAATTATGCCCACTTGAATTCCTACTTCTTACTTGGATGGGATGGGATGATTAAAGTTCTTAGTTCTTACTGGTAATTTCTTTGTTATTTTGTTCTATCAGCTTTTGCAGGACCCAAGAATTCACATATTGTTGCTGTATCGAATGGGTACATTCAGATTCGAGCACTGGCATGGCCTGCTGTGCTTGTAGGGTTGGTAGCTCAAGGTGCAAGGTACTGAAAACCAATGAATACATTCTCCTCCCCGTGCTTTTTCCTCTGTCTCCAGTTTTATAAGCTAAGCTTCTGCAATTTTTCTTCTTCTTGTTTTGGTTACAGTCTTGGGATGAAAGATTCCTTGAGACCCATGAAAGCTTTGGCAATTGGTGGTGTCCTAAATGCCATTGGTGATGTGGTTTTATGCAACATGTTAGGGTATGGGATTCGAGGTGCTGCTTTTGCTGCAATTATCTCACAAGTATGCTTAAGCAACTTTGTTTTGCTTGTTCTTCAAAACTCCCGCTTTTTCGGAGACTTTGAACTTGTTAATCAATTCTGACTGTCAATTGTTCTAGTTTGTTGCAGCTTATGTGATGATTGAAGGCCTGAACCAGAAAGGTTACAATGCCTTTGCCATCAAGGTTCCTAAGCTTGATGAACTCATTACTATACTTAGACTTGGTACCCCGGTGTTTGTGACAACAATGTCAAAGGTCTAGTCAAATTCCTGATCTCAATTAGTTTATCATTCTCCCACAATTTCTTGTTTTTCAACTAACTTTGCTGCGTATTTCATATGGTTAATCAGATGGCCTTTTACTCTGTGATGATATATGTTGCAACGTCCATGGGGACATATTCGGTTGCAGCTCACCAGGTTTAGACCCGCGGTTTCTTACATATTGCCGAGCTACTGTGAGTGATAATGATGTGGACTAACAAATCACACAATTTTTATGCAGGTAATGGTCCAAATATTCACCATGTGTGGAGTATGTGGTGAGCCTCTCTCGCAAACCTCTCAATCATTCATGCCTGAGTTGATCTATGGTGCCAACAGAAACTTGGCCAAGGTTAGATGTTGTTGCTATATCTCTCAAGCATGTACTCAAGTTATCCCCTTTCTTCAAAAGTAATCTAAAGCTGTTAATCATGTGGATTCAGGCTAGAAGTCTGCTGAAGTCCATAGTTTCACTAGGGATGATGGTTGGATTGGTTCTAGCTGCCATTGGGACAGCGGTTCCTTTGTTGTTCCCAAACATCTTCACACAGGACCAAATGGTCGTTGGAGAGGTTAGTTAATTCTTCCTTCTACCATATAATTATAAAAGAGCTTGTCAATATTAACCAAAATGTTAATTCACCACTTTTGCTACATATGATCTAATATGTACCAGATGCACAAGATAGTGGTACCTTACTTCATTGCATTGGCCATCACGCCTTTCATTCAGACCCTCGAGGGAACCTTGCTGGTATATTTTCTTTGTCCCCTACAAGTTTATGATGTTTCTTAGATATTAGAGATGATTCATTTTGCGCTGGCTTGATTCTTTGTGCATGCAGGCAGGGAGGGACCTCAGATTTTTGAGCTTGTCAATGACGAGCTGCTTCTCTTTAGGCGCCGTGGTGCTCGTGGTATATAAAGATCCGAACTTTGAAAAATGGGTACCTTTACATCATCTTTGTTTTGTTTTTGGCCTAATCAATGAGGCTTTTGCTCCTCTTTGCAGCTTGTGAGCAGCAAAGGTTATGGTCTACCAGGCTGCTGGTTTGCCCTTGTGGGATTTCAATGTGTAAGTAATAGAGCCATAGAGGTGGCATTTCCAGTTCTCATTCAAACACTACCAATAACCAATTCTGATTTTTAAGCAAATTCCAAATGTTTGCAGGCAAGGCTTTTCCTGGCTTTCCGCCGGCTTCTGTCTCCCAACGGCATGCTCTACTCCGATGATCAAAGCAAATACAAGCTAGAGAACCCGAAAGCTGCTTAAAGTTTGAGTGAGTTATTACTCCTTTTCCATACAACCTTACTGGAAAAGCTAGAGACTTTTTTAGGCATCACATCATCCCAGCAGCCCTTCTTGCCCTTGTAAAAGACATGGAAACTTGAAGGAGTTGCCTAGTCAGCCACCTTTGAGTCTGGGTTTTTGTTGGCCGCTGTATTTGTTATCTGTACTGTAACCGTCCACAATGGCACAATGTAGAATGTGTATATATCATGTAATGCACTGCACGTCTAATAAGATTGATGTTCTTTTTTAGATCAAGGAATTTTAGATTGATGTCCTTTGGCATAACATATAAAGAAGTTGAGAAGTAAAAGAGGGAGAGAAAGAGTGTCAGGATTCAGGAAGTTTGAAAAATTTTGGGAGGGAAGAGAATTTGGTCCCCAATGCATGCTTTTCTGTACTTTTTGCTCCCTTGTTTTCTACTGTGTTGCCAAATGGCCCATGTAGAGACAAAGAAGTTAAGGAAAGTAACTTGCTCGCAAGTCCCAATAGGGGAAGGAGAAGATTGGGGAATTTTAGGCCATAGAAGCACAAATACAAAGGCACTGAGAACTGGAGGTTGAAAATGAAGTTGAGGTTGCAGACACAGTACTAGTAACTGATCTCAATTCTCAGCCGTCGGTTCCCATGTGTGGTTCTAAACAATTGAGCTGAAAACTTTGGCTCCAAAATTGCCTCTCCCACCACTTTGCCTTGACAACCCTCACCAGTGCAACCAATCGCTCTTCTTCATCCCAAGTCCCCCAACCTTCCTCTCCAAAAAGGAAACAAAGAAACATAAAAGGGTAACCAAATTTCACTCTGTTTTGACAGAAAACCTAAAAGCAGGCGGAAGAATGCAAATTCAAACCCTGCTCCATTATTCCTCTTCCACTCCATTCCACCCCCTAAACCCAAAAATTTCAATCTTTACCAAAAGCCCATGTCGGGTTTACTCTCATAGGATCTTGCAATTGCGGCACCCGCCTATGCTTTCTTCAACTTCACGCAGTTTAAGGTCAAGACGTAGGCTTTTGACATGCTGCATTAGCCCAGACCAAGAACTCGTCAACGACGTGGTTGGGGAGGTTGCAAGTGAAGTTGTTTCAGTTGTTCAATCGTTCGAGGAAGAAAGCGAAGCAGTGAGTGGGAAAGGGGCTGGATTGGAGAGCCAGAGCTTGTGGGAGCAAATGAAAGAGATTGCGATTTTCACAGGGCCTGCAGCTGGATTATGGCTTTGTACCCCATTGATGAGCCTGATTGACACTGCTGTTATTGGTCAAGGAAGCTCTGTTGAGCTTGCTGCTTTGGGTACTTCAATTTAGCATGAACAATTGCTTTGTTTTTCTTTTTTCTCTCTTTTTGTGCAATAATCATGGATATTAAGCTTAGGATTGATCAAACAGGTCCTGGGACAGTTATGTGTGACAACTTGAGTTATCTGTTTATGTTTCTTGCCATTGCTACTTCAAACATGGTTGCAACTTCTCTTGCCAAAGAGGTAAGTTTTGCATTACTCAATTTTGCAATTGAGATTGTTCCTAGCAGGACAACAATGAACTCAAAGAATATTCATGACTCAGGATAAAGAAGAAGTTCAATACCAGCTGTCAGTGTTGCTCTTTATTGGCCTGACTTGTGGCGTTATGATGTTTCTCTTCACCAAGTTCTTTGGCTCATATGTTTTAGCAGGTAAATTCAAGAAGAGAATCTCAAACGAGCTTTTTTTGGGTTGTTCTTTCATCAGCATTGGAGTTTGATCTCTTATGCTTTTCCCTTGTTGTTTCTCAGCTTTTGCCGGTTCAAACAATTCCCACGTTGTACCTATAGCAAATACTTATGTCCAGGTTGGTCCTTCTCTTCCTTTGATATTTGTTACTTGCTTTCAGTCAGTCCAGCAAAACATAATTCTTTGATGTCTTATTGGTAGGTCCGAGGCTTGGCATGGCCAGCGATTCTTATTGGATGGGTTGCTCAAAGTGCAAGGTAGAGAACTCATACAAAATTTCTTAAGACTTGTAAGAGAAGAACCTCACTTGGATTTTTTTGTCCATGTTAGCCTTGGAATGAAGGATTCTTTAGGGCCATTGAAGGCACTGCTTGCTGCAACCGCTGTAAATGTAATCGGCGATATAGTTCTCTGTTCATTTCTTGGATATGGCATAGCAGGTGCAGCATGGGCAACAATGGCTTCACAAGTAAATATATAAATTTCGACAGGTTCTGTTTTTGAACTGATCCTTAATACTGTTATGCTTATGCATACCTGATGTTGATTCATTTTACCCAGATCGTTGCAGCTTATATGATGATGGATTCACTGAAGAAAAAGGGGTATAATCCATATTCTATCAGTGTTCCATCGATTGATGACCTTGTGAAGATATTCGGGCTGGCTGGTCCAGTATTTGTTATGATGATGTCCAAGGTAAACAAGTAGTAACATTCTTTTGAACAGAGAGCTTTGATTTTTACAATCCTTCTGATACAATTGTTGATGTATGGATGTGGTTTCAGGACAATAATCTTCTGAATGTTTATTCTTTTGGTCCTTCATTTCTAGGTGGTTTTCTACTCGCTCCTTGTGTACTTCACTACATCTATGAGCACACTCACCTTGGCAGCTCATCAGGTCTTTTTTTATTCTACTTGTTTCTTGCTTCACTCACCTCTTCTCGGCTTGTTGGTATTCACCATCTTTAGGAGCTCTCACCCTCAGGTTGCGATTCAAGCATTCCTGATGGGCACAGTCTGGGGAGAGCCGCTTTGTCAAACTGCACAATCCTTCATGCCTGAACTGCTCTTTGGAATGAACCAAAGTTTTTCAAGGGTAAACTTGAAACAACCTCTAGGCTGTTCAATGACGCTTTTGTAGTATATGCATTGTCATGTTTTTTTGGTTACTTGGGGAACAGGCTAGGATGCTGCTGAAATCGCTGATGGTCACTGGTACAATCCTTGGAGTATCGTTGGGGGTTCTCGGAACTTGTGTTCTTTTGTTCTTCCCCAATATCTTCACCCCTGATTTGGAGGTCATAAGAACGGTCAGTCCCATGTTCACCTTCATTCAAGCCACAATTTGTTTCGAGGAACTTGTTGAGTTTCAAAAAGTCTAATCCATTTTCATCCACAATGTTTACTTCTCCCACGCAGATGCATAAAGTTTTGATTCCATATTTTCTTGGGCTTTCTATAACACCTTGCATTCTCAGTCTTGAAGGCACATTGCTGGTATGGCTCCAAAATTTCGCGCAACTGGATCAAATGTTAACAGTATGGCATCGTTTAATGTTCCTTTCAACTTGTGCAGGCGGGAAGGGATCAGAGATATCTTGGCCTGACAATGAGTGGATGCTGTACTGTGGGTACATTAGGACTAATGGTAAAAAAACCTTATCACCTCATTTCTCATCTTGATTCTATGTGATAACACTATAATTTACTTAACAGACCAGTTTGGTTTCTCTATGTTTCCAACCAGTTCGTTACCAGCAGAGGCTACGGCTTGCTGGGCATCTGGTTCACAATAGTTGGTTTCCAATGGGTATGGCTCTCTAATAATAAAGACATCCGAACAACATGACATTCTTCTCCACGATATGATTTCTGCAACTCATTTTCTGGGTTTCTTTTTCTTCTGTTTTGAACTTTATGCAGGCTCGATTCTTCCTAGCACTCCAACGCCTTCTTTCACCGAGCGGCATGCTTTTCTCCGAGCAGCAGTTGAGTCTCTATGAAGTGAAGGAGTTGAAAGCTGCTTAGTTTTGTTTTTTATATGAAAAATAGTCTTGGACTTAGCCTACAAGTCATTTGTAAATATACTGATGATCCAAAGTTCTTTGCCTTGTTGGCTTGTCCAGAAATACAGTTATGGCTCCCATCTCAACTTAGTTGCCTGAATACAGTTGAGGGGAAATGATTTCTTACACAATGAAGCAAACACGAGGACAAAGATCTTAGATGTACATTTTTACATCTCATTCAATTGGCTCAAGTACATGATATATCACGAGGCAAATTCCTGAATACCCTCTTATACAGAATCAGTTGTGCAAAAACCAAGATCCACATGGTAACAGAAAGCTTAATCTAAACATAGACGCAAAAATTTGAAAATAAAGTGGTATTTGAAAATACCTAACCTCGTGTCCGTTTGCTAGACCGTCAATATTCTTTTCAACTTCGTGAAGGGCTCTCTTCCCTGACCCGCCTCCACTTTCCCTTACTCCTTCCTCGGCTAAACTACTTTGGGATTGCCCGCCTCAAGACCATTTAAAGAGCAATTGTAGGACACAAGAAATTCCAATTGGGGATTTAGGGATTGAGAAGAGAAGAAATTAGGGATTTAGAGAATTGGGGAAGAACAAGAGAGAGAAGAGAGAGACTAGGGATTGGGTTTTCTGAATTATTATTGCTTAACTTCCAAAACTAATGAGCTGTAGGTTTAAGTAGTAAACCGAAATATTCCAAATTACAAATGTGCCATTCCCCTTCCCCTCTTCCTCCTTGGCCAAACCCGACCCTCACTCTACCTCCTCGGTCGGGTTTCCCACATCCCCTCCTTCTTCAGAATCGACATCGGCCTCGAGGTCGAAGTCCGGAAATCTCTGACGAAGCACCTCTGTCTCCTCCCAGGTGGCATCTTCCAGCTCGACATGCTTCCACTGCACCAAACTCTCCTCTATCAACCGTCCGCCCTTCTTGGTCCACCTGGTCTCCAGCACCTTGAGAGGAATCAACTCCAAGTCGCCATCTGCTGTCACCGGGGGAGCCGTCGCAGTCACCCTGTCCGCCTGGCCCCGGTACCTTTTCAACAAGGAAATGTGGAACACCGGGTGTATGCGCGAACCCGCAGGCAGCTGCAACCGATAAGCAACCGGATTGACCTTGTGAACAATCTCGTACGACCCAAAGAACCTAGCCGCTAGCTTCTGGTATGCTCGCCGGAAAACCGAGGACTGCCGGTAGGGATGCAACCTCAGCAGTACCCAGTCTCCCACCTCAAACTCCTCATCCCGCCGCCCCGCATCCTCCGCGTGCTTAATCCGGTTGGTCCCTGCAGCCAAATTGGCTCTCAACTGTGCCAATGTCGCGTCTCGTGCGCCCAACCACCTGTCCACCGCGTCAACCGAACTCGACCCGCCACGGTACTGCACTAATGCTGGGGGGCGGTCTCCCATATAAGGCCTTGAACGGGGTCATTTTGATTGACCGATGAAACGTGGTGTTATACCACAATTATGCCCAAGGAAGCATGGCCAGCCACTGCTTCGGCTGCTGGTTGGCAAAGCACCTCAGATACTGCTCCAGGTGCTTGTTAACTATCTCCGTCTGCCCGTCGGTCTGGGGATGATAGGCCGAGCTCATGCGCAACACCGTCCGTGCCATTGCAAAGACCTCCTGCCAAAACCTGCTCAAGAAAGCAGGGTCACGGTCATTGACAATAGACCTAGGAAACCCATGATGTCTCACCACTCCCAATACAAACTGCTCGGCCACCGACTTCGCAGTGTATGGGTGCGTCAACGGCATAAAATGAGCATACTTAGTGAGCCGATCCACTACCACAAACAACACCGTCTTCCCGCCAGAGGGAGGTAACCCCACGATGAAATCCATGCTAATGTCCTCCCATACTCGTTCCGGCACCGGCATCGGCTGAAGCAGGCCGGCGGGTCGCAGGTAAGACAGCTTCGTTCTCTGGCACGTATTACATGACTCAGCATAGGCCTTCACAGCCTGTGCCATCCGGGGCCAGTAAAAATGGCCTCTGATCCGTCGCAGTGTCCTCTCGGCGCCTGAATGCCCTCCCAACGGAGAGTCATGGAACTCCTGCAGGACTGAGGTGACCAGGTTCGAGCCGGGAGGGAGAACCACGCGACCCTTGAAGGTCACCAATCCCTGTCGAAACAGATAATCCCCCGGGTTGTCGCTCACTGCGATTTCCCGACAATCCTGTAAGTACTGACTGGTCTCCATGGACGCCCTCAACTCATCCCAGAAATGCGGAATTGGCCCCGACACTGCCGCGAGAACCTCGCTGCCCGATCTCCTCGATAATCCATCCGCCACCACATTAGTGGGCCCGGGGCGATAATGGATCTCATTGTCGTAGCCCACCAGCTTCGACACCCACTTATGCTGATCCGGTGTGGACACCTGCTGCTCGAGAAGGTGCTTCAAACTCTGATGGTCGGTGTAGATGTGAAATTTCTGACCCAAAAGATACGGCCGCCATGTCTGGACCGCGGTAATGATCGCCTGCATCTCCTTCTTGTACGTTGACCAAGCCTCATTGGAGGGTGCCAGCGTCTTACTCATAAAGGCAATGGGATGGCGGTCCTGAGATAACACCGCCCCTATCCCCCGGCTCGAAGCATCTGCCTCAATAACAAAGGACTTGGAAAAGTCCGGCATGGCAAGAGTCGGAGTGGTCGTCATCGCCTGTTTGAGCCGCTGAAAAGCAGTCTCCGCCGCCGGTGACCAAGCGAACCCCCCTTTCTTCAATAGATCAGTCAATGGGCGGGCGATCATGCTGTACCCCTGCACAAACTTCCGATAATAACCTGTCAGACCCAGAAAACCCCGCAACTCAGTCACGGTCGCGGGAACCGGCCAATCCACCATCGCCTGAATCTTGGACTGGTTCACCTTCACACCCTGTGGAGTCACCATGTGACCCAAATACTCCACCTCCTGCACCCCAAACTCACACTTGGATGCCTTGATATAGTACTGATTCGTCCTCAGTATCTCGAACACTGCCTGCAAGTGCATCAAGTGATCTGCCCAGGAAGGGCTGTAAATCAGAATGTCATCAAAGAAAACCAGGACGTACCGACGTAGAAGAGGCCGAAAGATCTCGTTCATGGCCGCCTGGAAGGTGGAGGGCGCATTACACAACCCAAATGGCATCACCAGGTACTCATAGTGCCCGTTATGAGTGCGAAAAGCTGTCTTATGGACATCCTCCTCCCGCATCCTGATCTGGTGGTACCCCGCCCGTAGGTCCAGCTTAGAGAAATAGCGGGACCCATGAAGCTCATCAAGCATATCATCCACTGTCGGAATGGGAAAACGGTCCTTCACTGTGGCCTCGTTCAGAGCCCGATAATCCGTACAGAAGCGCCAGGTGCCATCCTTCTTCCTTACCAACAAAACCGGCGACGAGAACGGGCTGGTGCTCGGTCGGATCAGGCCCGTGGTCAACATCTCCGAGACCTGTCTCTCAATCTCCTCCTTATGCGAATGCCTATATCTGTACGGTCTCACATTCACTGCCTCCACTCCATCCTTTAGCTGAATATGATGATCCACCAATCGGTGATGGGGGTAATGAGGTGGGAGTTTCGAACAAATCTGAATAATGTCCGAGCAACTCCTGCAGCTCTGGATGGAGCACCGACGACGCCCCCTCCTCGATCGGCCAACACAGAATGGCCAATTTGGCCTCGCCTCCAGGACCGCATTCCGCGAACGAGATGGGTCCAACCGCAGTGGTGAGGCCCTGCAAATTCCACTCCTTATCCCTCCATTTAAAACGCATAGTCAACCGCTGCCAATTACTAATCACGGGACCCAAGCTCTGCAGCCACGGAATCCCCAAAATGATGTCGAATCCCCTGATTGGCAGTACATACAGATAAGTGGTTATAGGAAACCCTTGAATTTCCAAAGAAATACCTCGAAGAACCCCTACACAGCTCAAAGGAGCACCATTCGCCACCTTCACCACCATGGAATCGGTGGTCACGGGTGCCTGCTGCAGTTGCTTGGCGAATTCTTCTCCCACAAAGTTCAAGGACGCGCCACTGTCGACTTGGGTAATGGCCACGCGATCCTCGACTCGGGCTCGGAAGCGAAGGGTCCCCGGGGAGGTCCATCCCGCCACCGAGTGGAGCGAGAGGCAGGGGCCAGTCGCGGCGGCCTCCGCGGAAGGGCGCACGGGCGGCGCGGGCGGAGCGGCCGGGGCGCGCAGGTCGCGGCGAGGGACGGCGACGGGAGTGCGCTGGTCACGGTGAGGGACGGCTTAGGGAGACGCGGTCTCCGACTCTGCAGGCAGCCATCGGCGGCCTATGCGGCGGGCTCTGTCCCGCAGTTCTGCCCATGACAGGTCCGAGAGTTGGGAGGAACTCATCGACGATCGCAGGCTCTGATACCAGATGTAGGACACAAGAAATTCCAATTGGGGATTTAGGGATTGAGAAGAGAAGAAATTAGGGATTTGGAGAATTGGGGAAGAACAAGAGAGAGAAGAGAGAGACTAGGGATTGAGTTTTCTGAATTATTATTGCTTAACTTCCAAAACTAATGAGCTGTAGGTTTAAGTAGTAAACCGAAATATTCCAAATTAAAAATGTGCCATTCCCCTTCCCTTCTTCCTCCTTGGCCGAACCCGACCCTCACTCTACCTCCTCGGTCGGGTTTCCCACAGCAATTTTGATATTGTTATCCAAGTTGTTGGCTCCTCGTCTGGCTTTGTTGTTTGCGGCTCGAATGAGCATGTGCTTTTCGTCATGGGTGTTCAGTATTAGGGCATCTCTTACCCATATCTTGCAGAACTTCTTGCAGCCAGGGCAAGTTTGGAATGGTGGAGGATTCAATTGGAGGCCACATTCTTTGAGATTGTCGTTGTCTTCTGCCCTAGTACTTAACCACTTTCTTACAAACCTTCTCAAAAGAAAGTCGACTCATTTAAAGTTTGCAGAGACCTGTCATACCACGTGCTTAAGACAACGATTAATATTAGGGGTCATGAGAACTTGAACACGTGATCTCAAGGACAAACCAGTTCTGATGTCATGTCAAGAACCAGTTGATCCCAATAACTCGAGTTGTTGGGAGAGGGCGATGCATAGTACTTAACCACTTCCTTACAGTCTGGACATGTGTAAACTTGAGCCCATATATAGAGCCTTTTGTTTGAGAGTTTGATCAATAAATGTATATAATCCACGATTGACCTCTCCAGCACCTCACATGCTCGTCATTGCCCATTTGCCCTTGGATCATGGGAATAATGCTCAACCTTAAATGGTGGCCTGAATGTTGGTTTGTTCTGTGCTCTTCTAACATAAACCTTCCGATCCTGCTTCCTCTTTTCCTCTGCCTTCATTTTGGAAATGCTCGGCCGATGTATGATCACGGCTCGACCCATTTGACAGACCACTATGGAACCAGTTAGTTTCTCCAGCTGCTGCACGACGTCCTCTAGCTCTCCTGGACAGGTTCTGTGTATCGTAATCTATAATGTAGGAAACAATGAAACGAAATGGATTAGTAAAATGATGTACCATGATGTAACTCAGAGCTAAAAGCTAGAACAACACCAAGCTAGTGGAACGCCAACAACTCGTTCATGGAATAAACCAATGGGACTAAACACATTCAGAAATCTTTCAAAGAGCTTACTCGAGAACAATCCATTCTAAGAGCAATTTATTTGATTTTGATGAAAAAAACTTCCTACTCCTATGAATGGCAAAGATAACTACAAACAAATGGAATCAACATCATCCTGATACCGCAGGAACCAATATCCCAATAACTCGAGATTTTGGAAGAGGTTCAAAAATAGATTTTGATATGATCCAAATCCGAGGAGAACCCTCGAACTCGGATTATATGACCAAAGTACGCAGCCTTCCTTCTTTTTACGGAATTTTCGAAGCTTTTCTTGACAACTTGAAAATAAAGGATAGATATGGAACACGATCAAACAGATTCCAACTCGTGTGAAGGGTCAATTGGTATATGAAACCAATCAAACAATCACCCACTCGTGAATAAGGCCAATCGCTATTGGGTAGAAGCTCGCCACAACTAGACGCGTTCTCTAGTTAATAAGAGACACGTGAAACTCCTGGAGCACTGTCAACAGAAGCTTGCACAAAGAACTAGTTCGTATGAACTTGTAACTTGAAAGTTGATTGATAATTGAATGAGTTACAATGAGGAACTCAGCCTCTTATTTATAGACTAGCTAACACTAATCCAAATCTTAAAATGAAAAACAAATCTTACAAGTAAAAGGAAAAAACACAATCCTTAAATGACAAGTAAAAGGAAAACACAATCCTTAAAAGACAAGTAAAAGACTTGGTCAACAACTCCCTAGATTCTAGCCTTGCAATCCTCCCTCACATGGTTTGTGTTCACACATGATATTCCTTTCACACTTGTATTCCTTTCACACCTTGGTTCACACCATGGGAGATCTTTCCTTCTACCATGCCCATCTTCTCTCCATTCTAGTCCATAAATCGTAGCAATGTGATGGACTTTCCTTCTAGCAAGTCCACGTCCATCAAGAATGATCCCATTTGATCCTTGTATCGTCGTACTCGGGCCTTCATCTTTGGACCACGAGAATTATATATTCTGCCAATTGATTTCACTTCAACAAACTCGTAGGCCTTGCTTGCAATGACCTTTTCTTCCACCTTGAATGCTTCCAAGCTCTCTTTAAACCTCTTAAATCGTCTCTTGAACCATGGTCCATGTAGATATCTAGTTTGAGCTCGAGTGACATCATGCGGGGTGAGTGAGGTCGCATCATTCCCTCTCTCTTGAAGAAGATTCGACCTCAAATCTTTATAGAACTTTGATCTCCAATCAGCACCACTCTTCTTGCTCTTCCAACGAAATTGTATTGGTGAGGATCGCATTATTCCCCCCTTCTTAAGAACAATTGGTCCACGAATTGCATAGATACCATTGTGATGAAAGCTCTCTACGTAACGCTGAATTTCTTGTTGATTCTCCCGGCGAGCTGCCTCTTCTAACATTGCATCACCAATCACAAAATCAATATGGGAAACTTCGAGAACTATTGGTGAATGCTCCATAATTTTCAAGCATTCATCTCCACCCTTGAATTCTGACTCCTTAATGTACTGTTTAACTTCTTGCGCACTCAAATCTGGAATATCAACAAGAATTTCTTCTTTCACCTCTTCTGCCTCTTCTTCGACTTTCTCTTCTACTTCAAGTTTTGGTTCTTCTCGAGATGAAATCAAAGCTTGTGAATCCTCTTCACAAGTGACTATAGTAAGTCCATCAACAAGAACCTCTTCTTTCTCTTCCACGTCTTCTTTGACTTCCTCTTCGACTTTGGATTGAAACTCTTTCTCCTTCTTCAAATTCTGTTGCATTTGAAGTTGATCCTCATAGATTTCTTTGGGAGATAAAGGCTTCAATACGAACTTCTGACCTCTATGTGAGCACTTGTACTTCTTGGTGACTTCATCTTGTTGTCCATTTCGATCAAACTGCCATGGTCTTTCAAGCAAAACATGAGCCTCTTCCATTGGCACCACATCACAAAGGACTTCATCTTTATAGCGTCCAATCTCAAACTTCAATATGGCTTGCTTGGTGACCTCAATTGATCCATCTTCATTAAGCCATTGAAGAGTGTAGGGTTTTGGATGTTTTAATGTGTTTAAACCCAATTTCTTCACCGAATATTCACTCACCAAATTAGTGCAACTCTTTCCATCAATCAAAACCGATAGTAGTTTACCATCCACTAAGCATCTCGTTTGAAATTTATTCTCCCTTTGCTCGAGATCTTGCTTTGACTTTGGACTCCCTATCGTCAAATGAGCTTCAGGTTGGATTATTGTTGCTGGCGCATTATTCCCCTTTAACCCTTGAAGAATAACTTCCGTCGTCTGGAGCATTTGCTTCATACTCTCCGTGAATCGTTGATTTTGCTCCATTGTTGCCTTTCAAGAGCTAACAAAAACAAAAATTTTTTTTTTTTCCTTCCCATACGTACAGCTTTGTGGCTGTAAGACAAATTTTTTTTTGTTTTTTTTTTCACGTGAACAGTACACGAAAATTAAAAAAAATAAAACACAACTCTTTTTTATTAGTCTATCTACTCACGTAAACTAAAGAAAGATTTTTTTTTCTCGTTACCTTTTTTTTTGTTCCAATGACAAGCTCACGTAAGACAAAACACAATTCTACCTCAAGAATGCTTGACGTAAACGAAAAGAAAAAAAACAATAATTCTTTTTTTGTGTTTTTTTCTGATTTGTATTTTTTTTTCTCAATCTGCCTTTTTCAATGTTTTTGTTTGGCTTTTCTGGAAATACCTCTTACAATAAATAAAAGTACAGAAACTAAAATACCTCTTTTTTTGCCGATGAGTTTGAACCGGTAATCTTCAAATTTGCCACTGAGTTTGAACCAGGCTCTGATACCACTTGATATGATCCAAATCCGAAGAGAACCCTCGAACTCGGATTATATGACCAAAGTACGCAGCCTTCCTTCTTTTTACGGAATTTTCGAAGCTTTTCTTGACAACTTGAAAATAAAGGATAGATATGGAACACGATCAAACAGATTCCAACTCGTGTGAAGGGCCAATTGGTATATGAAACCAATCAAACAATCACCCACTCGTGAATAAGGCCAATCGCTATTGGGTAGAAGCTCGCCACAACTAGACGCGTTCTCTAGTTGATAAGAGACACGTGAAACTCCTGGAGCACTGTCAACAGAAGCTTGCACAAAGAACTAGTTCGTATGAACTCGTAACTTGAAAGTTGATTGATAATTGAATGAGTTACAATGAGGAACTCAGCCTCTTATTTATAGACTAGCTAACACTAATCCAAATCTTAAAATGAAAAACAAATCCTACAAGTAAAAGGAAAAAACACAATCCTTAAATGACAAGTAAAAGGAAAACACAATCCTTAAAAGACAAGTAAAAGACTTGGTCAACAACTCCCTAGATTCTAGCCTTGCAATCCTCCCTCACATGGCTTGTGTTCACACATGATATTCCTTTCACACTTGTATTCCTTTCACACCTTGGTTCACACCATGGGAGATCTTCTTTCCTTCTACCATGCCCATCTTCTCTTCATTCTAGTCCATAAATCGTAGCAATGTGATGGACTTTCCTTCTAGCAAGTCCACGTCCATCAAGAATGATCCCATTTGATCCTTGTATCGTCGTACTCGGGCCTTCATCTTTGGACCACGAGAATTATATATTCTGCCAATTGATTTCACTTCAACAAACTCGTAGGCCTTGCTTGCAATGACCTTTTCTTCCACCTTGAATGCTTCCAAGCTCTCTTTAAACCTCTTAAATCGTCTCTTGAACCATGGTCCATGTAGATATCTAGTTTGAGCTCGAGTGACATCATGCGGGGTGAGTGAGGTCGCATCATTCCCTCTCTCTTGAAGAAGATTCGACCTCGAATCTTTATAGAACTTTGATCTCCAATCAGCACCACTCTTCTTGCTCTTCCAACGAAATTGTATTGGTGAGGATCGCATTACTCCCCCCTTCTTAAGAACAATTGGTCCACGAATTGCATAGATACCATTGTGATGAAAGCTCTCTACGTAACGCTGAATTTCTTGTTGATTCTCCCGGCGAGCTGCCTCTTCTAACATTGCATCACCAATCACAAAATCAATATGAGAAACTTCGAGAACTATTGGTGAATGCTCCATAATTTTCAAGCATTCATCTCCGCCCTTGAATTCTGACTCCTTAATGTACTGTTTAACTTCTTGTGCACTCAAATCTGGAATATCAACAAGAATTTCTTCTTTTACCTCTTCTGCCTCTTCTTCGACTTTCTCTTCTACTTCAAGTTTTGGTTCTTCTCGAGATGAAATCAAAGCTTGTGAATCCTCTTCACAAGTGACTATAGTAAGTCCATCAACAAGAACCTCTTCTTTCTCTTCCACGTCTTCTTTGACTTCCTCTTCGACTTTGGATTGAAACTCTTTCTCCTTCTTCAAATTCTGTTGCATTTGAAGTTGATCCTCATAGATTTCTTTGGGAGATAAAGGCTTCAATACGAACTTCTGACCTCTATGTGAGCACTTGTACTTCTTGGTGACTTCATCTTGTTGTCCATTTCGATCAAACTGCCATGGTCTTCCAAGCAAAACATGAGCCTCTTCCATTGGCACCACATCACAAAGGACTTCATCTTTATAGCGTCCAATCTCAAACTTCAATATGGCTTGCTTGGTGACCTCAATTGATCCATCTTCATTAAGCCATTGAAGAGTGTAGGGTTTTGGATGTTTTAATGTGTTTAAACCCAATTTCTTCACCGAATATTCACTCACCAAATTAGTGCAACTCTTTCCATCAATCAAAACCGATAGTAGTTTACCATCCACTAAGCATCTCGTTTGAAATTTATTCTCCCTTTGCTCGAGATCTTGCTTTGACTTTGGACTCCCTATCGTCAAATGAGCTTCAGGTTGGATTATTGTTGCTGGCGCAATTTTGACGATTCGAGCTCAATCGATTCTTGTTTAGTTAGGATTTCATTGTTTTGGTAGTTTTTGATTCCTTTTCGTATTAGACTGTAATTAGGAGTTTATGGGACGTGTGTAACCCTAGCTAGGCCTATTTAATCTTTCTATTTCGTTGTAAAACTCAGACTTTGATTAATCGAAAAACAAACCTTTGGTTTTGTGCAAGTTGCGACTTGTTTGAGTTTGGTGGATTCCAAGCTTGTGAGCTTGTGTATCGATTGAATATTCACTTCAATCGTGGTCGAGCAGCTACTCTTTTATACCATACGAGCTTTCCCCAGGTGTGGAATTGTCCGTTGGTTCCGTTTTATCCAAGTTCGTATTAAGAACGCTTCGTTCTTGATTCGAGCTCAATCGATTCTTCGATTGAGTCGTTTGCTGCATTACTTTGATAACATACACCCTCCCAGGGGCGTATCAGATTTTATACAACATACTATTACATCCCCTGAAACGAAAGTCGCTCAGTAGTGCTTGAAATTTGCATAGGCCTCAATATCACGTGCTTAACAAATGGGAGTCACGAGAATTTGAACGCAAGATCACTCAGTTACAGAAGACTCTAATATCATATCAAAACAACCACTCATACAACACTAGACCTCTTTCCCCATTTTAAGACAACTGATTTTGGGTGAAATTTCTGAATCTAGAGAGAGAAGAGAGAGAACTTGAAGGGAGAAGAAGAGAAGGTGAAGGAGGAGGAGGTCTGAGCAAGGAGGATCTTCCCCAACTTCAAATCTTCTTCTATTTCTACCATGTATCTTCTTCCCTCCTTCATGGAGTAGTCCTCTAAGGTACTAGAAGCTCTAAACCCCAAACCCTAGTTTTAGTATTTATTATGTATATATGGATATTTTAAGGTTTGAATGAATGAATGTGTTTGTCTAATAGATTCTTAATGACACTCTTTCCTAAATGATGATGCTTGAGCAATTGGCCCAATCTTCCTTCTTAGCTCGATTTATACTACCGCGCTGGGTACAGAGTTCTACGGTTAGACGGGTATGCTCCATCTGGCGAGTTTAGGTTAGATGAGTGAATGGGGGCCTATAGTGGCCAAGGGGACCAAACCCCTGCTATAGGTAGTCTTCCTAGATGAAACCCGGTATGAAACCTCGGCGTGGACGGTGGATAGTGTCCATTGAAATGAGCCATAAGCTTAATGCCCCAAGTACAATAGCCAAGATCGAGGTGACTGAAACATGGGTTTAGGGGAGGCGTACTCGGAGGCGTGTGGATAACGACGAAGGCCCACGGAAAAAAGCTCACTCACCACATTCAATAACCCTAAGTATCTATACATGCATAGTATCCCTAAGATAGGGGGATGATTAGTTCAGTGAAGTACATGCTTTTAGCTTTGATCAACCTCTAGACTAGTGTTTTCTCATATCATTCACTCAAAACCTCAAAAACCGATTACCTAATTAACAACAAGGTGGGAAGTAGGCTAGGGTACCAGGACGTTAGTAGAATACGACCTTGATTACCACTATACGACAATGCCATCCTAGGTTAAACTTGGCCTAGGATGGGATATTTGTTGATACATGCAAACCATTGACAATATCATGCATGGATTCAAGTGATCAAGCTTTTTGGCGCCGTTGCCGCGGACCCTTGGTAACTAGTAGAAAACGATTAAGTTGTTAGTTAGTTTTTATCTTGCTTTAGCTGTTTGTTTCGTGTTGTGTTTGTGTTGTTGGTTTATTTCATTTTATTTTGTTTTGTGCTTTTGTTTTGTGCTTTTGTTTCGTATTTTGTTTTCATATTTGTGTCTTTGTTTGTATTGTTATTTGCCACTTTTTTACATCACGGGTTGTTGTGGTTGTGTTTTGTAGCATCGTTGTATGCGAAGAAGGGATTCATTGGAAGTATTATCTCTTGATTCGGAAATCGAGAGAACCCTTCAGAATCTAAGAAGGGTTACAAGATCTCAACCTCCACCAATGGCAGAACATCAAGCTCAAGTATCACCGAGGCCAAGAACAATGGGTTCTTACTCTAGGCCAAGTGTGGATAATGTCCAATCACCTATTCTTCATCCGACATTGCCCAACAATGATTATGAGATCAAGCCGGAAACAATATCGATGCTTCAAAGTGCGGTTCAATTCAATGGGATGATGAGTGAAGATGCACATGCGCATGTCAAGTCATTTTATGAGTTTACGGATGGAATCGAATTGAATGGGGTTCCTCAAGAGGCTATCCGGTGGACTTCGTGGTTCTAGACACAGAGGGGTATGATGCATCGATTATTCTAGGCCGATCATTTCTAGCCACAGCACGGACTATCATTGATGTAAGTGGAAGCAAGATCACATTAAGGTTTGGTGAAGAGAAGGTAAGCTATAAGATGACTCCAATCCCAGATTTCCACAAGTATTACAAATGGGACGATGTTAAGATGAATTGTGAGCCGGTTACACCTCCTACCACACCACCGTAGGTGTCAAAACATAGCCCGACCCGATTAACCCGCCCGATCAACCCGACCCGCAACCCGACCGCAACCCGACCGCAACCCGAATTGACTAAAAGTCAACAACCCGTAACCCGCCCAACCCGCAACCCGATTGACCCGCAACCCAACTAACCCGCAACCCGACTAACCCGTAACTCGATTAACCCAAACCCGATTGACCCGCAACCCGATTAACCCGAACCCGATTGACCCGAACCCGACTAACCCGTAACCCGACCGACTCAACCCGAATTTCATCTAATCCACTTGAATAATTATAAAAATATACAATACATAGTTTTTAAAAATAAAGTTTTTCATTCTAAACTTAAGTAAAATTATTTTTTCATTTCGTATAAGAAATTTAAAAAATATGAAACTCACTTGATATTACGTATTTTAAGAAAATTACAAAATTTGAAACATGAAGGTCACTTGAGATCATGACAATATTAATATAATATATAAATTAAAATTTTGGTTAATTTAACTATTCAATAAAATTATCAATTAAATATAATAAAGTAAAGTAATGAATTTGGTAATTTGATCTTTTTAAAACAAGAGGAAAATTTTGGTGTATTCAAATTTTTGGGAAGAGAAAGAAGAGGGAAATTTGGTTCTTTGAATTTTTTAGAAAAAAAAACAAGTGGAAATTTTGGTGGTTTTGATATGTGGGAAGAGAAAGAAGTGGGAAAATTTGATTTTTTTGATTATGAAAGAGAAATAAGGAGGAAAACTTTTGACTTTTCAACTTTTTGTAGAAGGAAAGAAGAGGGTAATTTGGTTCTTTCAATTTTATGGAAGAGAAAGAGGAGGGAGTTTTTCTAATGTATGGAAGGAAAAAGAAGGAGGGAAGGTTTAATATTTTTGTGAAAAGAAAGAATGAAACAAATTTTGTGTTTTCAATTTTTTGGTTTTTCATAATTTTAGCTTTTGAAATATGAATCTTTAACTTTTATATGGAGGGCATGACTAGTTAAAATTATTCTTATATGCTTTGAAGGCTAATATGTATATATGTATGTAATTTTTTATGGGCTAATAAATAAATTAACCATTAGTTACAACAATTTATACTAAACTTGATAAGTAATCTTTGACGATTCGTTGTTTAGGATATAAAGTATATGGTTAGGGTATAAGGTATAAGGTACATATGGTTTAGGGTGTATATGGCTAGGGTATAAGATATTGATGGTTTGACGGTTCTAAGTTTTTTATTTACATATGTTCACTTGAAGTCATTTGAAGTCTTTAACGGCAGGAGATCCCTTTTTAATTTATGTTTATGGTACGTAGTTAGGGTACAAATTATGTGGTGTAAAGTATATGATATATGGTTAGGGTATAACAATTAGCAAACATCACTTTTTATCTATGTTTTGAAAATCAAAGTATGAATTTCACTTATAAATTAACTATACTAGCAAAATCACAACTCAAGGACATATGGTTAGGGTATAGGTTATGTGGTTAGTGTATAATGTATTGATGGTTTAGGGTATACAATCAACAACATATACTAACTTAATATTGTTGATTGAGGATAAAGCTAAGTGTATAGGATATATGCTATTGAGTAAGTTATGATTGAAGTCACAATAATTTTACTAAATTTGATAGCTAATCTTTAATGGTTCAATTTTTAGGATAATTCGAACAATTTTACAAATAACTCGTTTGACAACAGTTTACTAAAGTTATTTGGGCAATGATTTATTTTGAAATAACTCCTTTTATCACTATGCTTTTGCCAAATAGCACACGCCAAATACCAGATTTGCATGGTTATACAAAACGAGATACTTTAATCCAATTACTACTGAATTAATACTAAAATATCAAATAAACAATTAACGGTGTCTTTTGGTTGCAAATATTGATATCACCATTACTATTAGCTATAATACTTTACCAATTATGATTAATTACATAACAAGTTTGCAAGTCATACAAATTGATTTAACATTTTGACTAGTTTTTTCCAAAAAAATAAAGTATATATATACGAGGTAGAAATAAATTGGTTAAAAAGTTGAGAAAATATTTTAAATTAGTGTAATAAAATGTGTAAGTTGGTAATGAGTAATGAGTTAAGTTACTTGATACGCTGGCCCGAACAACCCGACACCCGACCCGCCCGCAACCTGCCCGACCCAAAACCCGATGAACCCGCAACCTGATTTGCCCGCAACCCGATTGAATCCGAACCCGATGAACCCGCAACACGACTAACCCGCAACCTATTTGAACCCGAACCCGATGAACCCGCAACCCGACTAACCTGCAACCCGTTTGAACCCGAACCTGATTGAACCTTGCCCGAACCCGCCCGAACCCCCCTGATTGACACCTATACACACCACCTTCAAGCCCTGAGATTGAATGGTTCAATATGGTCTCCCATGTTGACCCCCATGATGTTCAAGTTGAAGGAGGGAGTGATTCTTGCAACAATATGAAGAAACCCGGCAAAGAGAAACCTTCTTACAAAATGCAAACCCAAGAGTTGTTCAAGGTCTCTCATTTCTCCGGTGAACATGGAAGAAAGCTCCGAAAGTTTATCTTTGAAGAGAGACATTCTAATAAAGAAAACAAATTTGTTAAGGGCGATATAGCTCCTATTCTTGAAAATGAAGAGTTTGGGGAATGCTACAAGCCATTCACGGATAATGACATCTCTATCAAGGAGCCTCACCCTCACCATCTTGCAAATCAATTTTCAAATGGATCCTCTCTATCTCAAGCACCGGACGTGGCATCCGAGAGACTCCATGGTCTTCACCTTGGACTTTACGAAGGGTCATCGGTGAAGAATGAAAGACTCTCCATTTGATCTTAAGGAGTCAAGTCCAACGAAAAGACTTTTAAAGACGTGCTTGTTGGGAGGCAACCCAACATTTCAGTTTGTGTATCTTTTCCCTTTCCGTTTCGTTTTATTTAAATAGTAGCGTAGCTAGTAAATTAGAGATGCATTGAAATTGATTGATAAGACCTAGCCTTTCTTTTGGATGTTTGATTGAATGTTTATATGAATGTTTGAAATAAGAGACGTGGAGAAAATGAGTTGTCCTGAACAAGACGAAAATGGCGGTTGACAGAGCAAAGATCGCTGTCGCGATCTTGGGTGCCCATCCCTATTTAAACATTGGCAGCTTCTTTAGATCCAAGTGCATTCACTTTTTCACCATTCTCTAGATCTATATGTCATGACTCTCCAACTCTCTTGACTTTTTGAACCCACCTTCTTTAATCCCATCTTTCAACAACTTTTGAGAAGGATTTTCTATTGATTTTGGATTCCCACCTTGTCCCCTAGCAAGATAAGGTACACTTCTCCTTGTTTGACTTTTTTTTAATTGCCTTATCTTCCCAACATGTGTTGATGGTTTAGAGTCTTTAATGCCCATTTTCTACTTTGAATGACATCTTGATGACATGAGATTGTTTTTCTTTTCGCTGATGAACCCTCTATTTCACTTTTGATGTCTTGGTGGGTTGTGCTCATGCATTTATACCATCTTCAACTACCACCCACCAAGTGTTTGTGAAAAGTCCACAACCACATAGAGTTCATTATTTGCATATTTTTGGATTAAACATCATTTTCATTGCATGGGGTGTTGGTCATTGATTGTTCCTACATCAATTTGGGGATATCCTTCTTATTATTGTGGAGATATTTCTCTATCCTATTTTCCTCTTTTGACAAGTTCTTAGTCACGTTCAAGTGTGGGGAGAAATTTGGAAATTTCATGATACCCTATTGTATTCTACCCGATTAATGTTTAATGTTGGATTGATGATTTATGCATATGCACCACTTGTTTTGAAGGATAATATACAAGACTAATGGCATGACGCATGGTGATGACTCGATATTTGCACATGTTTTCCCCTTTGTTTCTTGATCGTTTAATCTTGCATTATCGCTTCTTTGGCCATTTTACGCTAGGTTGTGTTCCTTCGTCACATTTTAGGTCCTAGTGAGTAAAGGGAGGCATAGGCGCAAGTTTCAAGTCAATCAGAGATCAATTGGCGATTCGGGAGAAGAAACTCGGGCATGACCTGAAGAAAAATGGATTTCTACAAAGAATCATGCAAGCTTGTCATGAAAATTAATAGGACGAGACTACGAGCGTCTAGAATCAAACGAAAACTGATTCGGAGTCCAGACGAGGGAGAAACGAAACATTGAATATAGGGGAACAGGTTCGGCGGAAGAAACACAGGCAGACTACCCTAAAAACACGACCGTGTTTCATCTGGCACCTGCCAGTGTTTTTTATGCCGAGCCTCTCTTGTGAAGACTGCTGAAGGGATTTAAAACACGGGCGGGATCAAAACACGAGCAGGACTAAACACGCCCATGTTCCCGGCTGTGTTTCTGCCCCCTACTCGGGTATAAGTCTATTTTCTGTGATTTTTGAGGGGGTAGCTGGGTTTTGGATCCCAAACACCCAAGGGACAAACCAAAGAGAGAGAGGGCGATTTGAGGTCACTCTTGGAGTGAAATTGGAGGATTTCTTTGCCTTGGAAGCTCGAGGAACAAGCCCGGACTTGAAGACTGATCATCTGAATATTTTTACTGCAGTCTCTCTCTTTTCTATGGAGTAACTTCCCTTCACTTAGGTTTTGAGGAACCCTAGCTATGTTTATTTGATTGGATGATTGTATGAGTACTCTTACTTGATAATCTTGAGTTCATATTCAATCTATGCATGTTTTCATGATTCAATTATTCTTTAGTCGAGATTATTGATTCTGCTTTGATCCTATGAGAGTGAATACCTGATTAGGTCAATAGAGCACCACAAATTGATAGTATTGGATCGATTGCTTTAGTCGAGGGTTGATTCAATGCTTTGTATCGATTGAGAACCCCATTAAATAGAGGGAGTCCAGTTCAGAATGCCTTGATCGGTTGTTCTAGAGAAGGATACGTCCCTCTAGGCAATTGACTCAAGAGCGCCTTATTCCTTTAGTCGAGACTCAAGGTCTAGTTAAGGATTCTCCGCATTGTGAATGATAGTGAAACAGGTTAGAGGTCATCAATCATTAATCTTGCTAGTGTCTAGGGGGAATCATACCTAAGTGAGTTCCCAACCTGTAATTAGATTAACTTTAACCGTAGTTTGCTAGAGTAGTTTTAGTTGTTCTATCTTAGTCTAGTTTGCTAGATAATGAACTGAAGTTGAGTAATAGTAACTCTAGAGACCCGTGCATTCGATATTTATTACTTGAGCCACTATACTGCAGTCCCTTTCATTGGTTACACTTGGCCATTGTTAGCAGTTGTGTCAATGCGAGTCAAGTTTTTGGCACCGTTGTCGGGGACTTTCTAGATTATTAGGAAAGGCAGAAGTTTTTTTAATGTAGCTTTTCTTTATGTTGTTTTTATTTTCCACCCTTGCTTTTCACTTGGGTGTTTTTATTTTTGTTGGTGCAGATCTGAATCTTGGATCCTAATGGCTTCTCCAACCATTGGGGGTATCCACCACCACCTAGGGGTGTTCAAATGGTTACCATGGTTATTACCAAACCAAATAAGGCTAAATTTCATTAACCATGAAATACAATATCATAACCAAACCGTCCAAACTAATACAACAACCAAATTAACCAAACTAAAGTTTAATCGGTTTGGTTAATTGGTTAACCAGATTAACCAATATAAAATCACATTATCATTAAGTGAGAAAGTTTTCGATTGATTTATCAATTCACAAGAGCGCCTTATTCCTTTAGTCGAGACTCAAGGTCTAGTTAAGGATTCTTCGCATTGTGAATGATAGTGAAACAGGTTAGAGATCATCAATCATTAATCCTGCTAGTGGCTAGGGGGAATCATACCTAAGTGAGTTCCCAACCTGTAATTAGATTAACTTTAACAGTAGTTTGCTAGATTAGTTTTAGTTGTTCTATCTTAGTCTAGTTTGCTAGATAATGAACTGAAGTTGAGTAATAGTAACTCTAGAGACCCGTGCATTCGATATTTATTACTTGAGCCACTATACTGCAGTCCCTTTCATTGGTTACACTTGGCCATTGTTAGGAGTTGTGTCAATGCGAGTCAAGTTTTTGGCGCCGTTGTCGGGGACTTTCTAGATTATTAGGAAAGGCAGAAGTTTTTTTAATGTAGCTTTTCTTTATGTTGTTTTTATTTTCCACCCTTGCTTTTCACTTGGGTGTTTTTATTTTTGTTGGTGCAGATCTGAATCTTGGATCCTAATGGCTTCTCCAACCATTGGGGGTATCCACCACCACCTAGGGGTGTTCAAATGGTTACCATGGTTATTACCAAACCAAATAAGGCTAAATTTCATTAACCATGGAATACAATATCATATGTTACACCCCGATCTTTCTAAGGGTCAAAATGACTATTTTACCCTTGGTTAAATTCATCAAGTTTCATCGTGATATCGAGGAGGACTAAAAATGCGAACTCTCGATTCAAACGGTGTCGAGTTTCGATATAAATCGAATAAGTTACGGACGTTAGTTGAGTTACGGATTAAACTCACCCGTAATTTGTGAAATTCACCGAGTTAGATAAAATCCAACCCTAATCCCATGCTCCACTCAAGCTAATTAAAACCTAAAACCCTAAGCAGCCTTTTAATCTTCTCCACCAAACAGTTTTCCGGACCGGGGATGATAAGCGACGCATCTCTCCCTACCATGGGAGGCGTGTGCTTAACCAAGGTGGAGGGCAATTATCCAGGACAAAGCAAAGCGGCACCATCGAGAGCTGCTCGTCCGAGGCGGTGGGATATTGGGGAAATCAAACACGCGGTATCGTCCAACGAGCGTTCATCGTCCGAGCGGGATCTGTTCGTCCGAGAGCAAGGCCTCCGTTGGTGCATCAATCTCGTCCAAGGGGGATCTGCCTGCAAAGCGACCCTCTCTACCATGAGAGCTACTTGCTTAAGCAAGTTCGTCCCACCTGTCATGGGTATTGCGCCACAGCAAGCACGAGGTCACTTGCGTTTGGGAAGGCAAAAGCGGAAGCAACCATGAGGTGGCATGCTATCGGGAGGCCAACGCAGGAGCCATGAGGTGGCTTCCTCTCGTGAGGACAACGCAAAAGCAGGGCTGTTTGCGGTGGGGAATCAGCCAAAGCGGCTTAGGCAGGAGACCATGCAGGACCAACATTAAAAATACTGTCTCTACTGCGAGAGGTGTTAGCTTAAGCAAGCATGACCAATATTAACGAGAGCCGCTATGCAAGCAAGTAGGACCATTATGTAAGCAAGCAGGAGATCGATAGGAGGCGGCCATGATTAAGCAGGCAGGAGGAGGGCATTATTAGGGCAAAAGCACATAGTCAAGCCAGTTCCAACGGAAGTAAGGTGAGTGTAAAGGGGGTAAATTCTACGCCTTACGTACTCTTTTAAGTTTGACGAGCCTTAGGTATTTGTTGAAGTGATTGTTATTGCTTGATTGTGCTTATGGTTGATTATATGTGATTTTGTTTGAGCCATGTTTGATGTGATTGTCCATGAGTTTTATTTAAATTTAAGCTTTGAGTTTATAAGTTATTGTTGAACTTAAGAAGCAAGTCCCTTTTAAGAAGTAACTCACTTTCAAGAAGGTGAAGTCGTTTTAAGTGTTTTTAGTCACTAGCGCCAGTCCGTTGCCATTTGAGATTTCCAGATAGAGCAGCAGTTATGCTCTTGAGATCTTTGAGACAGAGCAGCAGTTATGCTCTTGAGACTTTTAAGATGGGCAGCAGTTATGCCCTTGTGAATCATGGTGAAGAGCCACCACGATAAGTTTAAGATGTTAGGGGGATGAATCGTTACGACTTCCCTAACTAAGTTTAAGTTTAAGGAAAGCCTTGATGGCTTCTCATACGTATGAGTTGGCAACCGGACTAGCTAGTGAGGGATCCCCGTGTCAGTCAAGTATTTAAGTCGAGATTTGAGCTTTAAGAATTCAGTTTTAAGAGTTAAGCTTTTTAATAGTGGAAGCACAAAACAACTTCCACTCAGTTAAGTAAAGTGATCAAGTATTAATAAGGTGTTAAACGTAAGGGCGTAGACTGACCCCATCTCACTCACCAGTTTGAGGAGCTAGAGGAGCAGTTAGTGAGCAGCAAGTTCGAGGGCAGCCAGCTAGAAGAGAGCAGTATAAGTGTCACGGAGGATGCTTAGTCAAAGATTTCAGTAGCAACAACTTCAGAGATTATTAGTTATATACATTTATGATTATGAGTACAGACTGGAGATTATTTTGAGATCAGTTTGAGATTTTAAAGTTTGAGTTTAATTTGCCCATGTGTTAGGGCTTTGCTCTGAGCTACAAGTGTGTGTTTTCAGTATTTTATTTATTAAAATTTTTCCCAGTCGCCATTTAAGATTTGAGTATTTTAGTTATCAAGGGCATTTTAGTAAAAGTAGTACCCGGCCGGGTTAGGGTGTTACATTTTGGTATCAGAGCCCGGTCTTCCTCTGTTCCTTGGTCTCCAAGGAATACTGGAATATCGGTCTCAGTTTTCAAGGTTTTTGTTTTTTAAAGGAAAGAAAAAAATGAGTCAAGGATCTTCTTTTAAGAGTTTATAGAATCTCCAGTCTACTCTAATCATAATAAGGTGAATAACTATTTACAACACGACACTACGAGAAGGTAGCGCAATGGTGCAATTGGTTTAAGAATAAGCTAGGACGCGAGTTAAGTTATCACGTCGTGGGACGTCAAATAAAAGACTGAGGCGTACGACGATCATGAGTGTGAAAGGAAAGAAAAAAATAATGTGGCCAACTCTTTTAGAATCTCAAGATACAAGGAAAAGGAAGGAGGAACGTTGCAAAGGTCTATGGAGGTAGGATCAAATGTGCGAGGACTTCAACTCCAAGCACCAGCAAAGAGGTACCAATTGAAAGGGAATACCTCAAGGATTTTGAAGGAGTTGAGAGAGTAGTACGAGGATTTACTACTAGGAAACAAGGGATGATCTAATAAGCTAAGACAAACACAGGGGAGAAATATGAATCTCCAAAGGAAGAGGAACAATCTCCAGACGCCAGTAGCTATGATAATAGGATGATGTTAGGGTCTTTGGTCCTAAGCAGTGGAAAGTGGTAAACGGGTCAAGAAACGAAGAGGTACCCCGAGAAGCCCCTCATCTAGTTTTTGTGTTCGATGGCTCAACGCTGTTACATCATAGTGACAAGGAGCAGAGAAAAGCTTAGACTTCAAGAAAAGCTAGGGTAGTGTAAATGGAGTAAAGGAGGAAGTAAGTAGGTTATAGGAGGTCTGAAAGGACGTCAAGAAGTCAAAAGGTCAAGGCGGAGAGGAGGTATGGTCGTTTGCATATAACGATAAAGGAACCCTTATAGTTAAACTACGTCACTAGAGGAGAGGGTACACGACCCTGGGGGTTAGGCCGATGAAAAGCCGTTAGAAGGAACAAGGCAAGCAACGAGATAAATGATGTAGAGGTTGAGGTTAGATCAGGCATGCTATAAACCTGTCAAGCGCAAGCTAGAGGACAAGGTAGGAGAAGGGGTTGAGAGACCCTCCAAATTACCATGATCAAGGAGAATCAGAAAAATCGTGGAATTTCAAGGAATCCATTGGGAAAGTCTAAAGTGGGAACTAGAGGGCCAAGAGCGGGAGTCTCGGACCAGCCGTAGGAGTAAATCATTCAATCAACCGGATATAGGCAAGCAAGTACAGCGTTCATTAGAAGTTCTAATGAAAGTTGGGGAATTCGAGGAAGAGTCTAAACGGTCGTAAAGAAGAGAGTTTGCGAGCAATACCAAGGAAGAGCAAAAAGGCCAAAGGGATTTTGACGAGATTTCAAGAAGTCAATGGGTCAAGTCTCAGGTGACTCGAGGTCAAGAAGAGGCATAAAGAGGTACGATGAGGAAAATCATTGCCAACAAGGAGGAAATCATTAAGTTACCTTACCCAAGGTGCCCCACTCTGAGGGAGTACGATATAGTAGGATGTCATCCATAAAAGAAGGTCAGTTAACGATAAATTAGTGATATTTAGTTAAGCCACTAAGAGCCATGACTAAGAGATTAAGGCTATGTACAAGCATCGGTTGAGACAAATGACGTGAATGAGGTATGTTAAGACCTACCCAAGGAAATCCTCTATTGGAAGCTTTAACCCTAACAATAACGAGAAGATACTCAACGGAGCTTGGTGATCGAAAAATAGTACAAAGCAGCAACGGAAGAGTAGTAAAAGTAAAGAAGCAAGGAGAACACCATAGGACGCTATAGGAAATAAATAAAAAAGTAAATAAAAAAAAAAGAGTGGTTGTCGACCGGACAATGAATGCGTGAAAGAAGATAGTTGGGACGTGGTCGAACACCATCGTGAGTAGAAGTCGTGGGTGTCATCTGTCAAGTCTATCTAGAGAAAGTTTCGAGTGGAAATGTTGGCTCTGAGGTATGGCGAGGAGCTACTAAACTGAGTAGATCAAAGCTAGTACCAAGCATCGATGAAGGAGTTGTAGAAGTAAGGAGGAAACCACAAGCTATACTGAAAGTTATGGTGAAAAGGGTGGTAGTTGATAAAACGTCAAATTCAGGGAGAAAGATAGTTAGGAAGATCCGACGAAAGAATACGAAGGTCAACAAGGAGGCGTTAAGGTAATGGCCAGTGGAGAATAAGTTGGACCATAGGAAGCCCAGCAAAAACGGAGAAGCTCAATGGTCAACTTTAAAGTAGAAGTGTGGTGGTCCAGAACGGTCGAAGGGAAAACCTTATCGGTCAAGGTACATAAGTGAGAAGAGAATATGGACACCTAGAGGACTATGTCGCGAACAAGGGACATCTAAACCGAGAAAGGAACATCAAGGAGAAGAGTCACGAGTAACGAAGTAAGAGGGCTACAAGTTTAGTGAACCTTATAGAATACCACAAAGTGAAACCAAAATCGCCTATGCTGGTGAAATGTGTTAATCTCTCAGGTAAAACTCTATCGGACGGGGGAAACTGTATGAGGAATTTCAGTTGGGGCTAAGAGTAGCAGAATGGATAATAAGAGAACTTCAAATTCAGGTGGCGATAAGGAGGTGCTAAGTTAGGCGCTAGGAGTGAATAGGTAAGCCAAAGGGAAGTTCATGACTCTTGAAGGGAGTCATATGGTTGTTAGCAAGCTAGAGAAAGATGCAAAGGATGCCTTTAATGCATACAAGAAGTAAAAGCAGTAGTATGAGATTTCAGAGTTAAGCAAGAAGTAACGAGGAGATGACCACTCAATTTATGGTTAAAGGATAAGACAAGGCATCAAGGAAGAAAGTAAGAGATACAGAGTTAGGAGATACAAGGACCTAGGTGACCCATGAGGTCAATCCGGACGAGAGTTACGTTAAAGGAGTTTTACCATCTGACTAGATGGAGGACAAGCCGCCATATGTAACCCTAAGGTTAAAGGGGGTATTAAGAACATCAATAGGGACGTGTAAAGGATTCTTTCATGCTAAAGGCACCAGATATGGTGAATCAGGCATCAAGTGTGTGTATCAAGTGGAGTTATCAAAGAGGAGCATAATGAGCCCTAAAAAGGGAGAAGAAGTGATACCTAGGAACCAGCATCGGAGTTAATCATTAAGTAGGTCAAACATTCTACACCAAGGAGAGTTGTCAGCAGTCAAGATAGGGTGGACAAAGTTCAAGGTCTGGGCCTGGTATGACCTGAATAGCTGGCTAATAATTTACTTCCTTAAGCTCTTAAGGAATCCTACGTAGAGACCCAAGACAAATCGTTGAGAACAACAAGAGCTACGAATGCCATTACACCATCAGAGGCATTTAAGAAGGGAGAGTGCCTTAGTGCCATAGACTCATTAAGCAAGTAACTAGCTTGAGCAAGAGATTTATGAAAAATGGGGGAGCAATTAGTTGGCGAAGAACCACACGAATTGGAGGAAGGGGTTTATAGCTCCAGGTTGTATAAAGTAAAGGAAGTATAAGTCCTTGCAGCAGAATGATTACCTCAAGTGAGACTTTAGGTTATCAACAAGGAACAAATTTCGAGGTCGAAATTTTCTTAAGGAGGGAGGAAACATGATACCTCGACTTCGGTAGGTTCAACATCAAGTATTGGACCCAAGTTGGAAAATTTTGAAAAGGGCAAGTAGCCACTCAAAGCTACTCGATGCTAATGAGCTTGTTGGGAATACCCTTTATGGTCAAGAAGAAATAACTTGAGGTGAGGTAAACTATACGGGATAAGCAACGGACATCATCAAGGTTCATATAGAGAGAGTAAATTTTGGGGCAAGGAAGTACAAGAATGGTGTTGACAGAGGAATGAGATTCAAGCAAATTTCGGGGACGAAATTTTTATAAGGGTGGAGGAAATGTTACACCCCGATCTTTCTAAGGGTCAAAATGACTATTTTACCCTTGGTTAAATTCATCAAGTTTCATCGTGATATCGAGGAGGACTAAAAATGCGAACTCTCGATTCAAACGGTGTCGAGTTTCGATATAAATCGAATAAGTTACGGACGTTAGTTGAGTTACGGATTAAACTCACCCGTAATTTGTGAAATTCACCGAGTTAGATAAAATCCAACCCTAATCCCATGCTCCACTCAAGCTAATTAAAACCTAAAACCCTAAGCAGCCTTTTAATCTTCTCCACCAAACAGTTTTCCGGACCGGGGATGATAAGCGACGCATCTCTCCCTACCATGGGAGGCGTGTGCTTAACCAAGGTGGAGGGCAATTATCCAGGACAAAGCAAAGCGGCACCATCGAGAGCTGCTCGTCCGAGGCGGTGGGATATTGGGGAAATCAAACACGCGGTATCGTCCAACGAGCGTTCATCGTCCGAGCGGGATCTGTTCGTCCGAGAGCAAGGCCTCCGTTGGTGCATCAATCTCGTCCAAGGGGGATCTGCCTGCAAAGCGACCCTCTCTACCATGAGAGCTACTTGCTTAAGCAAGTTCGTCGCACCTGTCATGGGTATTGCGCCACAGCAAGCACGAGGTCACTTGCGTTTGGGAAGGCAAAAGCGGAAGCAACCATGAGGTGGCATGCTATCGGGAGGCCAACGCAGGAGCCATGAGGTGGCTTCCTCTCGTGAGGACAACGCAAAAGCAGGGCTGTTTGCGGTGGGGAATCAGCCAAAGCGGCTTAGGCAGGAGACCATGCAGGACCAACATTAAAAATACTCTCTCTGCTACGAGAGGTGTTAGCTTAAGCAAGCATGACCAATATTAACGAGAGCCGCTATGCAAGCAAGTAGGACCATTAAGCAAGCAAGCAGGAGATCGATAGGAGGCGGCCATGATTAAGCAGGCAGGAGGAGGGCATTATTAGGGCAAAAGCACATAATCAAGCCAGTTCCAACGGAAGTAAGGTGAGTGTAAAGGGGGTAAATTCTACGCCTTACGTACTCTTTTAAGTTTGACGAGCCTTAGGTATTTGTTGAAGTGATTGTTATTGCTTGATTGTGCTTATGGTTGATTATATGTGATTTTGTTTGAGCCATGTTTGATGTGATTGTCCATGAGTTTTATTTAAATTTAAGCTTTGAGTTTATAAGTTATTGTTGAACTTAAGAAGCAAGTCCCTTTTAAGAAGTAACTCACTTTCAAGAAGGTGAAGTCGTTTTAAGTGTTTTTAGTCACTAGCGCCAGTCCGTTGCCATTTGAGATTTCCAGATAGAGTAGCAGTTATGCTCTTGAGATCTTTGAGACAGAGCAGCAGTTATGCTCTTGAGACTTTTAAGATGGGCAGCAGTTATGCCCTTGTGAATCATGGTGAAGAGCCACCACGATAAGTTTAAGATGTTAGGGGGATGAATCGTTACGACTTCCCTAACTAAGTTTAAGTTTAAGGAAAGCCTTGATGGCTTCTCATACGTATGAGTTGGCAACCGGACTAGCTAGTGAGGGATCCCCGTGTCAGTCAAGTATTTAAGTCGAGATTTGAGCTTTAAGAATTCAGTTTTAAGAGTTAAGCTTTTTAATAGTGGAAGCACAAAACAACTTCCACTCAGTTAAGTAAAGTGATCAAGTATTAATAAGGTGTTAAACGTAAGGGCGTAGACTGACCCCATCTCACTCACCAGTTTGAGGAGCTAGAGGAGCAGTTAGTGAGCAGCAAGTTCGAGGACAGCCAGCTAGAAGAGAGCAGTATAAGTGTCACGGAGGATGCTTAGTCAAAGATTTCAGTAGCAACAACTTCAGAGATTATTAGTTATATACATTTATGATTATGAGTACAGACTGGAGATTATTTTGAGATCAGTTTGAGATTTTAAAGTTTGAGTTTAATTTGCCCATGTGTTAGGGCTTTGCTCTGAGCTACAAGTGTGTGTTTTCAGTATTTTATTTATTAAAATTTTTCCCAGTCGCCATTTAAGATTTGAGTATTTTAGTTATCAAGGGCATTTTAGTAAAAGTAGTACCCGGCCGGGTTAGGGTGTTACATCATAACCAAACCGTCCAAACTAATACAACAACCAAATTAACCAAACTATAGTTTAATCGGTTTGGTTAATTGGTTAACCAGATTAACCAATATAAAATCACATTAAAGTTTTCGATTAATTTATCAATTCACAATTTATATAATGAATAAAACATAACAATCAACACATAGTTATAGTTGACCCTTAACATAAATACATGCAACTAAGACAATTATCTTACGGTTAGTATAGAAGTATTCACCTAAATTTTTTTTTATCACAATGGTATGGGTTAATGAATTGTTTTATTTGTTTGAATTGACTTAGTCTTTTAGCAATTTTCATAGGCTGAAAAGGACCTTACTTTCAAGTTTTCATCCAACATAATTTATGAGATTTATCTAAACTAGGCTTTCATATGTTGTGGTCTACACTCTACATGTACAAATATACATTATAGGAACAATATCAAGCTTTATATTTTATGAGTCTAAAAGGGATGAATGTTTAACTCTTGAGTGATTATTCAAAGTATTAAGTATGTGTATATATTAGATATATGGCTAATTATTTATCTGGTTAATTTGGTTTGGCTGGTTAAGAGTGTCTGAAACCAAACCAAACCACCTAAACCAAACAAGCAAAGAACTTTAACCAAACCAAACCAATTATCCAAATTAACCAAACCAAATTATCCAAATAGTACTGGTTAAAACGGTTAACATGGTAACCACACCGTTTGAACACCCCTACCACTACCCGAGTGGTATTACCCTGAGACTTCCTGGAGCAATCAAGGAGGGGATGACTATGGATTCAGGTTTCAATATCAACCCCCCCTACTATGAAGAACAATCAGACCCCTGGTCATTTCAAGAACAATCTCCTTATCAAGAAGAATTTCTCCCACAACCAGAAGGGCCATTGGAGCTGGAGTTAGCCATGGCGGCCCTCATGGGCCATTTGCAGAGCCATGCTACACTCCACGGCCAAATCCAAACTATGAATTGAGGCTTCTCGTGGAGCAGTTTGTATAGGTGTCAATCGGGCGGGTTCGGGTTGGGTTCAACTGGGTTCGAGTTCAATCGGGTTCGCGTTCAAACGGGTTGCGGGTTAGTTGGATTGCGGGTTCATCAGGTTTGGGTTCATCGAGTTCGGATTCAAACTGGTTGCGGGTTAGTTATATTGTTTGTTCATCGGGTTCGAGTTCAATCGGGTTGTGGGTTCATCGGGTTTTGTGTCGGGCGGGTTGTGGGCGGATCTGGTTGCGGGTTGTTCAGGTCAGCGCATCGAGTAACTTACTCATTACTCATTACCAACTTACACATTTTATTACACTAATTTAAAATATTTTTCTCAACTTGTTAACCAATTTCTTTCTACCTCGTATATATATACTTAATTAAAAAAAACTAGTCAAAATGTTGAATCAATTTGTATGACTTGCAAACTTGTTATATAATTAATCGTAATTGGTAAAGTACACTAGCTAATAGTAATGGTGATATCAACATTCACAACCAAAAGACACCATTAATGGTTTATTTGATATTTTAGTATTATTTCAGGAGTAATTGGATTAAAGTATCTCATTTAGTATAACCATGCAAATATGGTATTTGGCAAAAGCAGAGTGATAAAAGGAGTTATTTATAAATAACTCATTGCCCAAATAACTTTAGTAAACTGTTGTCAAACAAGTTATTTGTAAAATTGTTTGAATTATCCTAAAAATTGAACCATTAAAGATTAACTATCAAATTTAGTAAAATTGTTGTGACTTCAATCATAACTTACTCAATAACATATATCCTATACACTTAGCCTTACACTCAATCGACAATATTAAGTTAGTGTATGTTGTTGATTGTATAGTACTTTAAACCATCAATACATTATACAGTCACCACATACCTTATACCCTAACCATATATCCTTATGAGTTGTGATTTTGCTAGTATAGTTAATTTAAATGTGAAATTCATACTTTGATGTTCAAAATATAGATGAAAAAGTGATATTTGCTAATTGCTATTGATAGCATCGTATTTGCACATGTTTTCACCTTTGTTTTCTGACCATTTTAGCTCGAATTTGTTGTTCCTTGGCCTATTTTACGCTAGGTTGTGTTGTTTTGGCGTATTTCAGGTCCTAGCAAGTAAAGAGGTGCATAGGCGCAAGTTTCTGGTCATTTGGAGGTCGAGGTGCGTTTCAAAGAGAGAATTACGGGCAGCCCCTGCACAATTACGGTCGTAATTGCTCCTGGCATGCCCGTAAATTCAATGCCGAGCCTAATTTCCAGAATTCCTGTCGCAGAGTCAATTACGGGCAAGAGTCACTTTAATTACGGTCGTAATTCTGAAATTACTGGGGGTAATTGGCAAATTACGACCGTAAATCCTGTCTTCCGAGTTAAGTGAAACGCGCGTTTTGAGCAATTACGGGCAGACCACAATTACGGTCGTAATTTTGCCCGTAATTCTCCCAGAATCGGGTTTTTGAGGCAGATTCAAGCCAAAACAGAGGGAATCGACTTTTCAGAGCAAAAACAGAGTTTTAGAGAGAGAAAGGGCAAAGAACAAACCCTAGGAGCTATTTGGAGTGGCTTTCTCACCATTGAAGCCCAGATTGCGTCCCCAGGAGTGAAGATTGACATCCCAGAGCATATTTTCCTCATCTTTATGAGTATGACTACTCTGATTTCTGTTTTCCTCTCTCTCTCTCTATGGAGTAGAACCCTTCTCTCACTTGGGTATAAAGAACCCTACTTCCATGTGTTAGGATTTTGATTGTAATGACTTAGGATGATTATACTGTTTGGTTTTAATCGAATGATGCATGTTTCATTGAATTGATTGAAGTATGATCAGCTTTTCTTGATTTCTGCTGCAACCTGAGATAGATAGAATCTGATTAGGTTGTTAGAGCCTCTTCATTCGGTAGTATTAGATTGGCTATACGAGAGTTAGTCAGTCTACTGCTTTGTACTGGAATCCAATTCCAGTAGTGGAGTTCTGTGCTTATTGCTTCGGCTTTCTATCCCGGTGAAGACTAGTCGTCTGCCGGGTAGTTAGACTGAGAGAGCGTGGTCAGCTTAAGAGATTCCAAGCTACTGTAGGATCTTCCGCAGTCTAATCAACATTAAATCAACCCAGGGTAATTACAATTGAGACTAACTAAGGAGCTAGGGGGACTCACTCCCGAGTGACTCTTCCTTTGCTTGAGAAAACCGAACCAATTCCTGCTTTCTTTCTGCTTTCAGTTAAGACCATAATCAATCGACTTAGTTTGCTAGATAATAGATAATCACGGAGTAGGCAGTAGATCTAGACCCCGGGTTGATATTTAGAACTTGCTACTTTACTGCATTCCCGGATTGCGATTACACTTGGTCGCAGTTTGGTGTTGTATTTTGGCGTGTTAAGTTTTTGGCGCTGTTGCCGGGGACCCTCTAGGTTATTGGAGAAACGTGAAAATTTGTTACTCTAGCTTTTTCTTTATTGAATTTTATGTCTTCCACCTGTGTGCCTTCACAGGTTGCTTCTGCTGATTGTGTGCAGGTAGTGCATGACCCGTAGCCAGTCGGGAGATCTACTACCATTAGACCAGGAGCTTGAACGAACCTGCAGGAACTTCAAGCGGGCTCTAAAGGCGCGACTGGCTGCGGAGGAGGCGCTAGCACAGCTACAAATCGCCGAAGAAGAAGAGATGGGTGATCCACAAGACCATGATGTGGTCCTTCCCGAGGAGCAGACCATGGGATACTAATGGACCGCCAGGGCCGCGGACATGTCACCCATTCAACACCCTCATGTACCAGCAAATAATTTTGAGGTGAGCACCTCTATAATTACCATGCTGCGTGGTTCGGTGGTGTTCCGTGGCAAAGAGGGGGAGTGCCCCCGATCACATTTGAGGCGATTCCACGAGCTCATTGATGGAATCAAGATAAATGGGGTCCCAGCCGATGCCATCCAGCTGAGGTACTTCCCGTTTACTCTGGAGGGGCAGGCCAAGGAGTGGCTAGACACTCGACCTCCAGGCTCTATCACCACGTTCGCCAACCTGGCAGACAAGTTTCTCACTCGCTACCATCCTCTGTCCAAGATGGCGGAACTGCTAGATCTGGTGGGTTCTCTGGCCACCTCCAGTGCAAACAAGTTCAATAACATCGAGCAATTCATGGAGAAAGCTTCAGGAAAATTCATGGAGCTAGAAGCTTGTCAGAGAAACACGCAGGTTGTGCTTCGGGATATCCGGACCCAACTTGGGAGTGTTGCCAGGCTGTAGCTCAGAGGCCTCCTGGTACTCTACCCGGTCAGACCATCCCTCATTAGCAGAACCCGAATGAGCACTGCAAGGCCATTACCACCAGGAGTGGCAAGGTGACTGCCGATCCACCTGTTCGGGCAGAAGAGAGAGAGAGACCCCTGCTTCAGCACTTCCAACTAATGAAGAGGAAATGGAGAAGGAGGTTGAGGCGCCTGCTCCTAAACCGCAACCAATGGTGAAGGAGTATGTACCCCAGCTTCCCTTTCCTACTCGGTTGCACAAGGACCGACTGGAGACTGAGTTTGCCAAGTTCATGGCAATGATGAAGCAGGTGAATATAAGCATGCCCTTCGTGG